TCATTCGTAAACTAGGGATGGGAATTCCGCTATGAAAGCGATCTAAGCGAAGCGTACATACCTACTACTTTAAAAAGACCCATGGAACATGGTCCCTAGTATTGAAATGATAGCGTGTCGTCTAGTCATAATATTAAAATTTAATTTAGGGAGGGGGGATATTTATGATTTACGTTTTTATATTGATTTGTTATTCCAGTAGTCTATCCTATTAATATTATAAATGTGAAAGTTTCTTAGTTTGAATGTTTGTCCGTCAATCACGCTAAAACTACTGAACGGATATTGGTGAAATTTAGTATACAGGTAGGTTATTAGCTGACTTAGATAATAGGATACTTTTTATCCCACTAAACATTTCCCTAAGTACCACGCGGGCGATGCCGCTGGTGAAAGCCAGTTAATAAATATGATTAAGTTAGTAGTTGAGTGAATATAGTTATTTTTGTTTTGGTAAAACTGATAAAGACATTGCCGCGTATCAAATGAAGAATGAAGGCCACCTTGCCAATCCTACCAAAGCTTATTCCGTCTAGCTAATTCGAAATTTTGTAATTCTTCGTTTTTATAACTTGGATTTTCTTCCTTCTTGTATTAATAATAGAGGCTAGTTTGCATGGTGAAGTTTAATGGCTGCCATGCCCATGGTGTATCGGCGACGACGACGCCATGTCTGCTCGCTAAAGGTCATCGCCCTTGCTTTATGCCTAGTCGATATAAGTTATACGTATAACGTACTTTCGTAACGTAAGTAAGACTTGATGATGTCAATCTAGCTTAAATAAATACCTATTACTGTTAGAGTAATGTCAGGTCGATTTACTGACATTACTCTAACAGTAATAGGTATTTACTGATTGCTCTTACCAATAAAGTAAATAGTTTAATAATCTCTTTGAATAGTGTTATTCGTATAGAATTATGACGTTTATATTATTTTATATTATTCTAGCTCTAAAATTAACCAGCTTCATTAATAATAGTCTTAACAGCCTTGTTAATTGGTGTAGGATAAATGGAATGGAACTTAATGCTTCAAAATGCCGGCAAGTCCATTTTACACGTAAAACTGCATTTATATCGACACAATATCATATACACAATGTCGCGCTAAAGAGATCAGAAGTAGTCAAAGATTTAGGAATAATTTTTGATCAAAAGTTGACGTTCATTCCGCAACTGGATAATGTAGTACAAAAGGCATCACGGATGCTTGGATTCGTCATCAGAAATGGCAAAGTATTCAAAGATACACACACTAAAATTATTTTATATAACTCGTTGGTACGAAGCATTTTGGAATATGGCATTGTCGTATGGCGACCACATTATGCAACTCATACTTTACGTCTAGAAAGAATACAAAAAAGGTTTATGAGACACTTGTCGTATTCAAAAGGTATTGCCAAGAGTCTCAAAAGTTACGAGGAAAGACTCAAACATTTTAAAATGACATCATTGGAAAAGAGACGGGACTTACTCGATTTATTATTCTTACATAAAATACTAACGGGTTAAATAAACTGTCCCCCATTACTTTCTCTTTTTAAATTCAAAGTGCCACGAAAAGTGCCTCGAAAACCCATAACACCGCTATGTCCGCCTTTTAGATCCACAGTTTTTGGTGCCAAATCCGCTGTCCCTCGTCTATCCCGAATCCTGAACCGCTATAGTAATCAAATAGATATCTTTTTAGACTCGCCTAGTAAAATAAGGAATATTGTTATTAATCAGTGAAATACACACTATACTATAATATTAAAACACTGCTTTGATGTAAGTGGTGTCTGCTTGTAATTAGTTTATGTACTCTAACTCTAAATTAGATGTAATTATTATCTGTAAACTATACATAGTGCATTAAACTGTAAGTGGACCTAATAAAGAAAAAAAAAAAAAAAACAAGGAATCATTTGACCTTCATCGTTTTCAAATATTGACAACATAAACCACATTATACCTAGGTACAGGGGGACAATTCTAGTAAAAAAAATTTGCTTAAATCGAATCGAAAACGGATCGAAACCGAACGAAACTACAGTTTTAATGGTTTTTTTATTCTACAAAGTGACATACGATACAATTCCAGTTCTATTTTAACTGGACTTTGTAGAATAGGAGAACCACTATAGTTTCGTTCGGTTTCGATCCGTTTTCGATTCGATTTAAACAAAATTTATTTAGTAGAATTGGCCCCCTGTTCAGAGAGATGATTCAGAATCGAAACGAGTTATTGTGTAATCGGTTCGTTTGTTTTACAATAAAAAAGTTTACATTATGCAAATAGGAGTTCTTTTAAAGTTCTTATGAGTAATATTCTAGGTACCTAAGGAGAAATTCACAAACGTTGGTTTTATTTCATTATTATATTTCTTCTTGTTACGTAGCTAAAAGTAGTTAAATGATTTAACTTTACAGGGAAATTAAAATTACTTAGTTTATATAATACAGAAAAATATATTAATGAAAAGATAAAATGGATCAATACTGAAAAAAACTTCTATAAATAATTATAATTTACTGACTGACGTTTAAATTTATTCGAGGAGCTCGATTCCCAGTTGCTTAGGGCGTCTGACAGCAAAACCAAGACGCGGGGAAACAGCTAGTTTGATAGACATTGGTTCTCAATTTAAGAAGAAATTGATGAGATGCCCGTTGAACATAGCAAAATCCTCCTTTCGGATTTTGAATAAATGCAAAATACGCAATGTTTTGTTTATGTATTTTTTTCGCTGTGATATACAATATTATCAAAATATTGAGGTGATATTTGATAAAAGCATATTTTTTTTGTTATAAAGGGAAATTATTGATTTGGTCCCCAACCTCGGTCCATCAAAATAAAAAAGATTTTTGAAAATCGGTTAAAAATTCGCGGAAAATTCGGTGAACATACACAAAATACATTGCTGTCGAACATGTAACCTTCTCGTTTTCGATTTTGAAGTCTGTTAACCTTACAGACTTGCCGGAGAGAGCCGTGAGTTTGGTGTATTATTAATAATTTTATTTCTGATCTCTATTATATTTTTATAGTGTTTCTAGTTTATAAAATATATATTTATGATTTGAAGCCACATTGCTTTTTTATTAAACACATTCTTCATACGATTTCTTTGACTTATATTATTATAACATAAACTTTCCAAAAGAAGTTTTGTTTTTTAGTTCTATACTGTTTCGTGTAGCCAGAAAAAATAGAAATATTTAAATGGAATATATTCGGCACTAAAACCGAATCATTCGGCCGCGTATTCCGCCGAATACCTAAAGAATATTCGACGCATCTCTAATACTAATGTTACAAATAGGAAATATATGATTTTTTAGAAACTCAGGAACGATTTAAAGAAATTCGCTCAGTCACCTGTTGATAAAATAATGAATTTATCACAATAAAGTAAATAGTATATTTTTGCGGTTATGAAAAATACGCATCTAAACAGTTAAGCCATAACAATAGAACCAACTTAATGGGCAATTAAGAACATATCATAAAGTAGGTACAATTCATTGGATTAATTGTTTTATCTTTAGAGTTCTCATGAGATATATATAACTGTTTCTTAAATCTAAATCTTGCTATTAAATGAGCTGTAATATAATGAACCCATTTAAATTTATAAGTAGGTTTATCTTAATATTATTATTTTTACTAAACTATCACCATTATTATCTAAGGATTCGTCATCGTCAGCCTATTTATTACCTCACTGCTGGTGCATGTAGATCTTCCCTACGCACAGAATCTAATCAAATAGGAAGAACGGGTCATAATCCGGGTGAACCTGGCTCAATGCGGAGTGGTTATAACCCATTACGACTACAAATGTGTCTGAAGCGCCCATCCTATGATTGGGTCTTGCGGAATTTGCTTAATCATCGTTTGGCATACCAAACGCGCTAATTACTGCACCATCGAGCTCCTACTAAAACATTTTAGTATTAATCTGGTAGTTGATCAATTTAGTTCTGGATTTACCTCGTTTTATATCGCACGCAATATAGACTTATGTCATAGTTTAATTTTATATTTAGGTAATCAATAAACTGTCGATAGCAGAATTCTCTGTATACCGAATAATCTGTTTTTCGCAATGGTTCACATATGTGATACAATGGTACAATCAACAGCGCGTCAGATTATATAATTCTGTCAAATTTCTCCACACCACCTTATAAGTTGAGGGTAGATGTCATTGTAGATATTTGAGATATTGTGGTAGGCTGACGTGCAGCCTTGTGTACTTCGGCGTTCGTAACAGTGTGATAATATTAACCTGATATAAAATATTATCAATCCAGGTTAATAAACCTGATTGTCGTTAAGAAACTGAAAAAAAAAGGTACCGCTTACATATTTTGAAAGTCTTCAAATTTAGTATTGCAGTCGCTTGGGAGTGGCTATTCTTTATCATCGTATAGTTGTAATCTTATCGGTATGATGTCAGAAACAACAAAACTTGTGCTCGCACAGTTTGTAGACATTTTATTGTGAAAGTGAAACCTTATGAATGATAAATTCGTTATTTAATTTGCCGGTGAAATTCAAGGTAGAAACTTATTGATTTATTTTGTAACTCGTTTTTACGCTTCGTCGCTTTTAACGCTGCCTAAGATAGAAATATAAAATGTTTGAACGATGACGTCTTGGTTTGATTTGTAGTTTATTGTAAGTTCTTGTTGTATTGTAAAGTTTAAACTATTTTGTTTTTATTAATCAAAATTATACTGTCAAAATCAATGTTTCAATTTTATTATTTGCAGTATTTAGTAGAAGTTATATCATTATCGGTGACGATACCATTTGTTACTAATACATGGTGTTATTTCGGACTAATTTGGACATCTTGAAACTTATCTATTGGATAAATTATATCAGGAAAATGTTCCTCATACAAATTTCTATTTTATAGTTAATTCAAAATTCTAGTGTTTGATGGTTCGTGTTATTTATTTTCAGATCTTGAACGTGGCGTGGTGATAATCGGGTCGCGATGACGACCGATATCTCGGTGTCCCGGTGGGACCCCTCCATCGGCCACGGCCAGGAGATCATTGATGAGTTCGAGTACGACGGCGGCAACTCCTCCTCAAGGCTTTTCGAACGATCGCGCATCAAAGCGCTTGCTGGTGAGTACCATTTCTTCAATGTTCATTATGTGGTCCTTTAAACTTAATCGTTTCTGTAATTTTGGGCGAATTAGCTGTGATAGATGGACGGACAGATAAACACGCGATAGATCCTATTTAATGATTCCGTATTTTAATTTTGAAGCGCGATTGCAATTTTATGACATTAAAGCTATACCATTGTCCGATCGGTCAGTTGCGTAAACGTTCAACTTTAATGACGCATTTAAGCTTTAATGAATGTCAAATTTGTATGGGGCAATATCGCTTTGAACTAATGAAATATTTAATGGACGTTTGTGCAACTGGCTGTAAGACCTTCAATGTTTGTGCCCTAAACCAGACTTTAAAATAACTCTTATATTTGATCAATTTCGCATTAGTAACAAGTTGAAAGATTCGTCAGTCCACTTAGGTCCTGGGAAGCTCAGTGGTTAGAGCAGTCGCCCGGATTGCGAAAGTTCGTGGGTTCGAATCCCATCTCAGACTGCCAGTGCCGAAGTGGATTTTTTAAGCATTTTTTATTAAGAATTTAAAATAACTCACCCTCATAGATATGCTGCGTTCTAGTTGCGGGCGTAGTTAGTACGTGTCATTTGTAGTTTTTAAGTTTTCCTTTATTATTTAAAAGAACAGTAATAATCAAAAATACTAATGATAATAATAGGGATAACAAGTGGGTAAAAAACAGAAATTCCATTTAGTCAGTCAGTCAGATAATAATATAAAATATTTAACAACATAACATACATTGTTCAGATTCCAAGATGAGTAGCTAAAGCCCCCGTATTATGGAGTATCTGAGACAACGAAGGTACCACAACACCCAGACTCGAGTCAATATAGAAAAGTTCATTTTCTACATTGACCTGACCGGGAATCGAACCCGGGACCTCAGAGATGGCGACAACTTGAAACCGGCGTGCGAACCACTCGGCTACGGATATCGTTATAATTGAAAAATATTAGATGCGTATTTTTTTTTACTTAAATTTAAAAAGAAGTAGCTTAGATAACAGGCATTAAAGCTGAGGAGCGGGGGCTCTTTCTGTCATAGTTTTGTAGATAATATACCAAATTGTGACGTCATGCCACATTTTAACTCAGTGTATTGCACTCATTTAATAATTACGAAAAAAATCAAAAATACGTGTTTAATTTTTTTCAACAACCTATCTAAAAATTATTCGTCATCCCTATTGTAAAAGGCATCGTTTTTTTTTTCTTTATTTTTAAATCGACTACTTTTTAGGTTTGTTTTAACACAACAGATTTTAATATGAATAATAAATACTACTAGAAATACTAATTACGGACGAAGTTACGGACAAAGGCTAGTAATAAATATAACTCTTTCGTAAAAGGTTTATTCTAAAAACTTCTCCGATAGCGCTGATATGAGTAATTTAGTACCCTTTACAAGAATGTGTATGTTTGTGTATTGCACAAATAATATGTGTGAATTAAACGCAGTTGCCTAGTATTTCATTGAATTTTACATTTCCAAATTCACAGTGATATCTTAAAAATACATAAGACTTTAAAAACTATTTTAGGTAAATATCCTTGTATATTGAAAAATAAACATAGTTTTAAATAATATAAATAGATACTCGCAACAATACGTTCAAATTAAATATTATTAAGAATCAGTGAAAGAATTTAAATCTGTTCTTCAGAGACGTTCTAAGTCTCTAATAATACAAACGCTTATCACCCCAAGTGACCTTCTTAGGCATTTAGGCATCTTGAATAAATACATCTTAATTAAACTATGGCAAAAGCTATTTCGACTAGTCACGGAGGGGATTCTTCGTCGTCGTGACACGAATAAGAAGGTAGTACATCAAAGAAAGCAAAATTTCATCGAAATGCTTGCTACAAATGGAAATTATTCGCAACTCTCGTACATGTGATAAATAAGTAATGTGATATTACACACGGCTGCACGTCAGGTTACCATTGTGTGTCATATTTCTGCAATGGATTTTGACCTCTACTTAAATACATTAATTCTTAAAATCGAGTGGGGAAATTTGACGGTTTTGTATAGTCTGACGTGCAGTTATCTGTACTTAAACGAATGCAATGATGAAAGTATGTCAGTGATGTATTTTACCAACACTTTATCTAAGATAATCTATTAAAGATAAAGTGCAGTCCCTGGTTGTATTACTTGCTGTTAGAAGACTGACTTAAATTCAACTTCCTATTTGCGTAAATTGCATTCCTTGTATAATAATCTGACTTTCTAAAACTTCTCCAATGATTTTTATAAAGTTTATAAAGACTACCTATTATAAAGTTTTATAAAGACTACCTAAGTTTCATTTACCCAAAATAAAATACAGCTCAGCAAAAGAACAAGTCGGTCATCTAGGTATATTTTAATGACTGTGATTGCTTAATAAATTCATCAGTTGAGCTGTTTAGGTAGTTTTTCTAAATATTGACGAAAATAAACTTGCTAGCGGCGATAGTTACAAGTGCTTTAGAAATTCCACGTGGTCGCTAAAATATGCGGTAACAATTGAGTCACATCTCTAGGACCTGAGGCTTAATTTTTTTATAAGTATTTTTCTACAGGTAACCCATACCGAAAGATAATATTGATAACATTGGAATGTTTGAATGCAAATAACTGACCTTTTTATTGTGTAAATATAAAGACGTTGCCCATAGAGATACTTGTTGTATTTATTATATTATAGAGTATGAGAGAAAATGTTACGGCTGATTTTATAAGCTAGAATTGAAATAGAATAGAATCTAGATAAATACAATGGGACGCATCAACAAAAGAACTAATACTGCCTTTATCGGCGTTCAAGGAATCTACACAGTACTTAAATGCAGTTAAATTGTGTCATTATGAGTCATCATCGATTAAATAATGATCTGTGTAGTTAGTTTAACATTGGATAACAGATCTCAATAGGCCGAGGATTTAATATAATTTATTAAATTTTGTATGATTTGGAATTCATATTAAAGATAAAATACGAACCGAGTCGGATATTTTGTTTACTTTAGAAAATATCCATCCATATTGATGAAGACACCTATTTTAAAGTTTTTATTTTCGATATATTATGTAATTGTAGATTCGGTTTTTCACCGACATACAAACAATTTTAAGTAAACGCTCTATGGTCATTAAATAAATTATGACTCAAATAAAGTTTTAACGAACTGTAGATAAAAATAGCATGATATTTTGACATTGAGACGTTTGATTTCCTTATAAAAAAGAAATCATTTTATTATTATGTTTTATTTTATATAATTTTTTTATAATGACAAGCGCCCTTTTTATATAATGAGTTATAAATTTAAACTAATCTATACAAATATTATAAAGAGAAAAAGTTTGATTGTTTGTATGTTTGTTTGCATCGAATAAGCATCGAAACTAAATCGACTAAATAATTTCATCTAGGAGACGCTTCGTCATATATGACTGACATAGGCTATAATTCACGCGAGCGAAGTCACAGGATAACAGCTAGTCAAAAAGTATGTTACATTTTACCGTAAAGTTGTCAAAACCGCCAGATTTGTTTCGCGATATTGTTTAATTGTCCAAAAGTTATGTAACCATAACATATTGCTGACAATTTAACGCAAAGCTTATTGATACTCGATGCCGAAACAAATATCGATATTTACAAAAATCTTCGATACGATATACACAAATTTATAAAAAACATATGCCGAAGCTTTGTGCAATGTAGTTGATTCACGGGGTTGTCGCTTCAAGTTGCAAAAAACTGAAAAGTGCACAGAAAATAATTTCTCATCGTATGTGATGCAATAGGTCACTCATCCGTGCCATAATTACGACCTTGTCCTCCGTATCATCACTGTCCGTAGCATGGTTGCCAATATAGAGTTTATCACTAACGCATACCACAACTTCTGGTTTTCCTATAAAAACAGGGATCGTAAACATTTTGTCAAATATTATGATATCTACACACAAATGGTCTTAAAACCATTTTAAAATAAGAATTTTAGTGTGGAACGGTAATCTTTTCTGATGTTTACAAACTTATATTAGAACTTCATAGTTGTACGTGATATCCCTTATGATATGAACGTTATCAGTGACAACTCGCTATCGGATTTCTTATAGAGGTTTTCTCTTACGTTCAATCTAAAGGCATGGTTAGTGTGAACATTATTAATAAAATTGTATAACCAAATAGTTTTCATCGAAAACATATTATTTTAGAAGAACGTTTAATGTGATATTTAATTAAAAGTAGTCGAATTGTTGCCGTCACCTGGGGCGATAGTATCAAATATCCTTGTGTGTGGGGGCAGTTGAATTTTGTCGCTCTAATTGTTCCCGTGTTGTGGTCCGGCGGGTGCGCGGCTGGCTCAGTCTGTGGACTGTGCTGGTGACATGACATCCACAGAATGTTACGACCTCATCAAGAGGGGTGTGGATATTGAAGTGCCGGGCTTGGAGGCTTACTACGACAAGGTCGTTTTAGAACTAAGAGGTCCGTTGTGATTCAAATTTATGTTATGTGATGGACGTTGGAATTGTTTAGTGACACAGTTTGAGTCTGTGATATATTTAGATAATTTTCTATTAATATTTGTAAGTTATTTAGAATAATTTAATATTAGTATAATAGTGCTAGTGAGGATTCTGGATAAAAATAGGTAACACGTTTTTTATTAGTTTTTCCTGTTCCGCTTGAGTGGCGTGGCGTACTTACTGATTAAAACTTATTGTTCTTTCACATAATAAACGTTTAACTAATCACCACCAGCCCTTTTACGTCCCCACTGCAGGGGCTCAGGCCTTCCTTATGGATGGTTAAGGAGGATATCCAGTACATAAATATATCTACCAGAAAATATATATTATTATATTTGATTAATTTCATATTCATATATGTAATAATATATTATTTTAATCTAACTCTAAGTGTTATGCGGTTACGGTTCATAATATTATCATACTGTATAATCTTATAAATATAAAGCTCTGTCTAATAAACAGAAGGAAATTTTCTTCTATACGATCGTTTGATGTTAATTCTCCCTTCAAACTTCAAACAAATATTTATAGGTACTATCTGTTTCTCGCGCCTTCGCCCATATGTGTAAGTTAACCCGTGTAAAATGTAGCTTCACACAGGTGAAAGATTTTTTTTCAATCGGTCCAGTATCTTCGGACCCTATTTAGTACAAATAAACAATCAAATATTTCTTCTTTATAATATTAGTATAGTTAAAAATTTATACGAAATATTCAAGTAAGCGTACAACACCCTGCGCTTACAATACTTTACGGTCTGAGGCGTGCGAACATATCATAGCAATCGGACACCGGTGTTCAGTTACGATATTAATTACCGAATCCTACACCCTCGTTGCCGCCCTGTGTTATTGCGATGTCTGCGCCCGCGGCTGACGGCAGGGCGCCGCGGGCCACCGAGCCGCCCAAACGGCCGCCTATCTGGTCACCTCTCCGCGGACGCCCCCATTGGCGGTTAATGTGTTAACATTCACTTTATAAGTTTTATAATTTTTAAATATGAACGTTTATTATGTACATTTCTTTCAAGAATTTTCAGGTCAGTGCCTGAAAAATCTTCGAGTGCTAATCGAATTCTTAACGAGCGTTTATATTTATGGCACTTTTTAAACATCGATATGTGAGTTCGATACGGATTCGATTTGCAATTGATAATTTTCCGTCTTACGGGCACAGAAATCCTATAATTAGAAATACGAAAATTCAACGAAACTCGTAATGTTGTTTTAGTTTAAGATTACTTTTTAAAAAATAGTAACGAATTACGGTCGATTTAATCAACTGGTTTAAGACACGCCTGCATATTGTAATGAACTAGCATTTTTTCATGAATTCATAGCTATCGACTTCATATATATAAAACTTCAGTATTATGAGGTTAAATATAACCAATAGTTAAAAGTGATTGCACGAAAGTTAAAAAAATATGTATTATTTTCAGACGAACGAGAGAGTGTTCAAAAGAAGACCTTTCAGAAATGGGTGAATTCGCATTTAGTGCGTGTGGGGTGCCGTATCGGCGACCTATACGTCGACATGAGGGACGGCAAGATGCTGATCAAACTATTGGAGGTGCTATCAGGCGAAAGATTGGTAAGTAACATTTAATAATAGGGTCGTCAGATGGTCGGGATTCGTCTGTATGGTCCCGATATTTTGGATGCTATCTAGAGTCCCCACAAAAGAGAATTTTTAGGTAATCAATGAAACCTAGTTAACCTCATTTATTGTCTCAACTATGTTCTAAAATCCTGATTCAGAATACCCAATTTCCTTGGAGAATAGTTACTTTACATAAAAACTTTACGAATAGGTGTTTCTTTTACTGATATTGAAAAATAAGTTTCAATTGAAATTTTTTGTTATTAATACATAACAGGCGGTGTGTAAACTCCATCATAATTATTGCACGAACAATCACGCCTTTGCAAAACATAAAAAATATCACTTTATAATATAATTGACAATATTATAATTCCAATAGCTTTCAATAAATCTAGTATCGATAAATGGCATAATAGTGCTTAGATTTTGTATAATTTTTATTTTTATTTATATATGTGGGTATCCAAAAGGAAAAGAATTTGAAACAAACTTTAAAATAATTGTAATTTGCAGTTATTTTGTTGAATGATTAAACTGGTCTTGATTCATCAATGTATATTGATTAAAGGAGCTACGAGGAAATATTTCATAGGCTATAAATAACTAAAAGCATTATTTACTTCACAGCTGTAAAGCGTGAACTATAAACGGATACGTTTTGAATAACACATTCGTGCTCTTTCAAATTTGCCCTTCCCAAAATTAGCTAAGCCGCGGTCTCGTAACGCGTGAATAATTTAAAACTTGGCTTATGTTTTCATTTGCGAACGCTCGTTTGTTAAACATTAATAAAACCCATTTCGTAAATACATAAGGTAGCACATCAGGTTATGACAAAATGTAAATTTTGTACGATTGATTTTAATCTTTAACATTAACAGATTGTTAATCTGTTAAATTGTTAATCTGCCAGTCGCACAAACGTCCATTAAAATTGACATTAGTTTAAAGTGACATTACCGATACTAATTTGATAATCATTAGAGCTTAGAGGTGTCATTAAACCTAAATGGACGTTTGTGCTACTGATCGTAAGGTTTCAAAACAGTTGTATAATCCTGACGAGTTGGAGATACACGCCGTACATGGATGAATGAGATCACGTATGGTGTTACTGCTGTTAGTAACAATTTTGTAAAATAATATCATATTTTAAATTAAGCATATGTACCTACATGTCTCATTAGTCAGGCTAGACAATGTTTTGCATAAATAAATTATATATTCGACTATATAACCAAATATTAATCTCTGCTACAAAAGATATCGATTTTAGCTAAAAACATAACTAAAATTAACCACCGTGACATAAAGCTCCTCACGGTGTGTATTAATAAAAGGATGAACAAAAACGCAATCGAAAGTAAAAACGCGAAACCAAATAAAGATATCGCAAGCTCATAATTTTATCCTTGACGTGTCTCTGTGTCGTTTGTCCTCATCCACTGGATCAAGGGTATACTTCACGAGCTTGAGTATGTACTTGTTGAGTGTGGTCGTCTCTTCTCTACCACTCATTTCAATGCTGTTTCACTTGAATTCGATCTAATTCTACAGAGGACTGGTGCTGGCACGTTTTATTTTAATTTATAACTAAATATATGTTTTTGATGAAAACTATTTAGAGTGTTACATTTTACCTTGTTAAATTAGATGTAGACTTCTTTGTGCACGTAGCAATGCGTCAGGTTACCATCGATATGTTAAACAAACTAAAGTTTGAATGACTATATATTATGTGAAACTGTAAATATATATAACGCATCTAGCTGTTTGCCAACAACTCGCAACTTCGCCCTCGTAAATTACGAGTGTAACCTGTGTCACGCGTGTATGAAGTAGTTTCCCTTTCTGATCTCTTTTTTTAAATCGATCCATAGTTTCGGAGATTATTGAATGCAAATAAACAATCTTTGCTCCTTGTAATAATAGTATATAATGTATATTCAATCTTAGTTTAGTCTACAGATGGATTACCAAATAAATTAAAGGACGATTAATTTTTTTTGTAAAAGATAGGTCGTGCTTAACCGGCATTTGTTATTTTACCATTTATATTGTTAGATTTATCTAAATTTAATGCTTATATTTATTGTTCCAGCCTCGACCAACGAAAGGCAAGATGCGTATCCACTGCTTGGAGAATGTGGATAAAGCCCTCCAGTTTCTGAGGGAGCAGCGCGTGCATTTAGAGAACATGGGCTCGCACGATATCGTCGACGGTAATCCGAGGCTGAATCTCGGTCTCATCTGGACCATCATCTTACGATTCCAGGTTAGCACTACTTTTTTATTTTTTGTTTAATTATTTTTGTAAGCGATTTTCGATTTGGAAGTTATAAGACCAGTAACGTTTGACTGCGACTTCGTCTACGTGGTTATGAAGATATGCATTACTATTAAATTGTTTAAAGCAAAACTAGAACTTGGTTCTGAAATTTCGTGATGAGTGAGTGAATGACCTGAAGCATTTATATATATAGATAAATTATATTTAGATTTGTCTTCTTGTCCAACATTAGATTCAAGATATCACTATCGAAGAGACAGACAATAAAGAGACGAAATCCGCCAAGGATGCTCTGCTATTATGGTGTCAAATGAAGACGGCCGGCTATAACAACGTGAACGTTCGCAACTTCACGACGTCGTGGCGCGACGGGTTGGCCTTTAACGCAATCATACATAAGCACAGACCAGACTTGATACAGTTCGACAGGTTGCACAGAAGCAATCCTATACACAATCTGAACAACGCGTTCAATGTTGCCGAGGAGAAACTTGGTCTCACCAAGTTGCTCGATGCTGAAGGTAAGACTTATAGTGCCAGCAGTACGACAGGTTATACAAAATTGACAATTTTCCCCGCTCGATTTTAAACTGTAATACATAGAGAGTAGAGGTCAAAATCCATGTCGGATATTTGTCAAATTGTAGTAACTAATGTGCAGCCATGTTGAGCAAATCTTAAGCTGTAGCCATAACCGCAGTACATCAGGTTCAAACTGTTGAATTTTGAATTCTGCTTTTAATGTGCTAAGATTTAAAACTCGTTGGGGAAATTTGAGGATTTTGTATGACCGCCGAGAGTGAGATATCGTATGGGCTCCTGATTAAAGTGACATATGGGTGTAGACAAGACGTTCTCGAGTTCATTATCCTATACAAACATTGTGTAATAATACTATGCCAAAATTTTGTCCTTTTGCATACTTTTCGCGTAAAACTGCCATAATGGTCCCGGTTACAGTTAGTAGCCGCTAACATCCACAAATCCGCACTAGCCCCGAGTGAACATCAATAGTACATACAGTACACAGCAATTGATTTTCAACTCTACTCTCGATGTATTATGTTAGACATTTTTGTATAATCATTTTTGTTCTTTCCTTGACTCAGTTTATACCGGCTTCGTATAAGATGCGAAACAAAAATGAGGCATTTTTATAAATATGTACCATATAAATTTTCCATTTTGAAAGGATATTTCCCGCATTACGCAATTATTAAAATTATAACATGAGTTGGTACTTTAGCAGACATAACATTACCGTTCAATTTTATTATTAAAAACAATTCTCAATGTTACAAAACGGCATAAATAATGAGATTTAGTAATACCATTTTTCTCATAGTTCAGTGTCTTCAGTTTACACAGAATATAATTTTCTTTGTATTCATCAGTGGATTTTCCCACCAGCGACGATGATGGATGACCTCAATATTTATTTAGCATTATTCAGGCAATGTGATTCAAAGTCTCTTAATCATATTGATCGTATAGCTTGTCAATGATAAATTTAAAATATCTTAATATGTGACAATTACAGCGAAATTCTTCTATATTATTTTGCGAAATCTACTGTTATATTGACCTATATTATAAAAAGTGAGTTGCAAAAGTAACTCTGTATGTGTACTCCTTATCATTAACCATCCATAAGGAAGGCCTGAGCCCCTGCAGTGGGGACGTAAAAGGGTTGGTGATGTGATGATGATGGGTACTCTCTGTACTCGGTATTTGAAAAATTTTGCTTTTTGAAATGTACGTTATGTTATGTTTTGTTTGTTTTGAACTTGACCTGGTATACTTTTACCGGTCAAGTTCAAAATCGACAAAATTTGGTCTTCTGTAGTAAACTGTCGTGCTGCCAAATACATGCAAACTAGATATAAATTTTTTGAAATGTGCATCTTGAGCACAAGAATTGTAGAATATAAACTCGTGTTTTCATGTTTTAATATGTGTAGTAAAATAAGAAACATATAACTTAAGTTTTGATTTTACATTGTTTTAGTTAGCTTATATAGTTTACTTTAGGGTGTAACTATTTAGATATTCATCATCTAGTTTACCTATACCGTATTTATTATAAGAATCTATACTCTTGTATGTATAGAATAGGGCATATAAAAGGTGGAGCTCTCTCAATATACTTGAGACACGAGAATAATACAATTTGTTCTAATTCTCAGATATCGCGGTGGATCATCCCGATGAAAAGTCAATTATCACATACGTGGTGACGTATTACCACTACTTTAGCAAGATGAAGCAGGAGACCGTTCAGGGCAAGAGGATCGGTAAGGTGGTTGGCATCGCCATGGAGAACGACAAGATGATGCAGGAGTACGAGTCGCTCACCAGGTGAATCTGTTGAATATACTAAAAGAAGTTATGCTCTTGTTTGTACTATAATCACGGCACAAACATCAGTTGCAAACATGATCACGTTGCTATCGAAATACATTGCAATTCAACAAATATTGCGTGTCGTAAAAGTTCGTTTGATTCCGGGATGACCGAATGTATGGATTTATAACCGCTCTTGTTTTCATAAACTTAAGGTGTAAAATAGAATGCTCTAGATCATTCACACTACGGGGTACGGGAGGGACCTGAATCACTCTGATTGGTTAGATTTTAAAGCGCTTTTTAGCTATCTGTGCAAATTACAGCAATCTTTTTTGAACTTTACTCTCAACAGATTAAGACTTCAAATTGATTGGAAAACGTTGCTTTATTGTTGTTGACTATTTGACTATATTTTGACAAGTTATATTAGTTTTGTTATGCTGTACATACTAGATACTTTGTGTTTGTGTAACTTGTGGAGCACTACACTTATGTTATTGAATTCTCGTATATGAACGTGTGCGCAACTGGGGATACACTAGAGACGTTGTTCTCCTACAAATTGTGAATCATAACTACTATTGTATCATATCAATATCACTAATTTTTTATTTTATTTCAGTGATCTTCTGCAATGGATCGAGCGTACGATCGAAGCACTCGGTGATAGGACGTTCGCTAATTCTCTAGAGGGTGTGCGGCAACAATTGATTCAATTTGCTAACTACAGGACAGTAGAAAAACCACCCAAGTAAGTATTTTTTTATACAAAAATTCAAAAAACGCAAAATTATCTTTATTGAAATAAACGCATTAACAGTTTGTTGAAAATTCGTCATTATTTTTTTCTACTAGCAAAAGAATCTCACTAGCTCTTAATAGAAGTAAAAGATATTATAAATCATGCCATTACCAAAAAAATTATAATATAAATTATATGCTATTGGCATTTTGTGAAGTATAAATTGTATTCAGTTGTATATAGCTTTATGTATTTGTGAACTTTAATGTTATATTAAAATGAAAGAAAGTTTGTCTGTCTATCGAAGATAAATTGAAAAATCGACCAATAAAAGCCGATTTCTCACATAATATTTATTTAAATTTAACAAAGTGTGATTGATTTACGTGGTCATAAATTTCGTTTTGGGTCTGTTTATTGATATGTTCTATCTCTTATTCTGTGTAGGTTCGTGGAGAAAGGCAACTTGGAAGTATTGCTGTTCACGCTACAGTCTCGCATGCGCGCCGCCAATCAGAAACCTTACACGCCTAAAGAGGGCCGTATGATCCACGACATCAACCGCGCCTGGGAACGGCTCGAGAAAGCCGAACACGAGCGGGAACTAGCGTTACGCGAGGAACTCATCCGTCAGGAGAAATTGGAACAGCTAGCCGCCAGGTATACACGAAACATAAATAATCCCATATATCTAAATGGTTTTATAGAATACCTCTTTTAATTTTGAATAAGTGTCTTTTGATAATGCATTCAATTTTAGACTTTATTGAAAGGTTTAAGATATATGTTAGAATTGTTCAGTTTCTTTTTATGATTGAAATTGGCACTTACTACACTCTTTTACTTACCACACTTTGGTAATTACCCTGTTTATAAACAGAGACAAAATATTATTAGTACTTTCAAGCAAAATATGCCGTCACTTTGTCTTTTATACATTGCCATTTTAGTAAGGGGTTTTCCAGCGGTTTTCCACTTTGAGGATACTATTTTTATAGTTTTCAGTGCTTTAATTTCATAGTCATTAGGCATAAGTAAACGGTTCGGTAAAACAAACAAATAAATTACATTTTGAGCGTAAATTTGATTTTTGATAGTAATTAGAATAATCACTTTTTTTGCATCGTCTAGATTCAATCGAAAAGCTCAGATGCGCGAGACTTGGCTGTCTGAAAACCAACGGCTGGTCAGCCAGGATAACTTCGGTTTCGACCTCGCCGCTGTGGAGGCGGCCGCTAAAAAACACGAAGCCATCGAGACTGATATCTTCGCGTACGAGGAACGAGTGCAAGCCGTCGTCGGTGTATGCTCAGAATTACAGGCAGAAAGGTTAGTTGGTAATCGGTATAAGCAAAATGTTACTGGAAAATTTACGTGATCCATTGCGCTTTTATGCTTAAACAGTTAAACTAATTTTCATGAAGAAATAGGCCACTTTGTCTTCACTTTGGCCACTATAATTTCACTCTTAAGAGTGATATGTAACCTATGATCAGGATACAATCCTGTTCTTTGTGTTAATGTTATCCGATTATTAGTGTTTATGTACAATAAAGAATAATTCGGTTATTCATTAATATTTCAAATTCGTGGGTATAAAAGTTCACATTTCTGCTTCAGACAAGCAAAAGAAATTATGTGTGTAAATAAACCCTAACTAAGGAAGTGGCCGAAGTGGTATAAGCTAAATTTATAATATAATTCATAACTTAGTATATAATTTATACTGTACTAATAAACAATACATTTAGTTGCCTGGTATGAATATAATCTTTGTCTTGATATAAAACTGTATCGTTTTCTCTTTGCCTGTTTGTAAAAATATGTGTTTTTATGATCAACAGATACCATGATATGGAGCGTGTGTGTGCTAGACGCGACAATGTATTGCGTCTGTGGGCGTACTTACTGGAGCTATTGAGAGCTCGTCGAGCGAGACTCGAACTGTCACTTCAACTGCAACAAAACTTCCAGGTAAACAACACCATCAAAGCGAAGTTTTAATTAATAAAACTGGAGCTTCGCGCCAGTAACTGACACCAATTATATGTATAGAAGAGGGAAACTACTGCTACCTGCTAGTTAGAAACCTGTATACTTATTAATGTCAAACTTATAATACCCCTATTTTCCGTTTCTCGTCGGGGGCTAAAAACTATTAAATTAACGAAGGTTTGAAAATCAATAGAGAGTTGAAGTTCTTAATCAGAATAATATTAATGTTAAAAGGTTTATTTTTAAAAATGTAATTGTGAACTTTCCTTATTATATATTTCTCAAAATAGCAACAATAAAAGAATATTTATCCTCTTATATGTAAATAAAAATATATAATACATATCAAAGTTAACATTTCGAACGAAACACAGTAATGACTAATTGTACGAAAACATGTTACGGATTGATTGTCAACAATAGTTTGGTAGAGCCATTTTAAAAATAGTCGAAATAGGCCTAAATTTTGTAGGACAATAAGATATAACGTTATTTTATGTATCACAGGAGATGCTATACATCCTCGATTCAATGGAGGAGATCAAGTTGCGTTTGTTGACGGACGATTACGGCAAACATCTAATGGGCGTAGAGGACTTGCTACAGAAACACGCCCTCGTAGAGGCGGACATCAACGTGCTCGGAGAACGCGTCAAGGTATTATAGCAGTTGTATTGAAAGTGATTTCGTTATACAATTAAGTGGAAGTGATAAAGTTTGAGTAACTCGGTGGCGTACTGGATAAATGCCGCGACTCGTGATCGTTGTTGCTAAGCAACTTTCGCTAGGGTCAGTCAAGGGATGGGTGACCAAAAAAATATCATCTCAAGCTACTCCATGCTACGGATTTTATAACGGGTAGGCACGTTAAGCTTCTGGTTCCGGCTGCATTTGGAGTCTTCCAATCCAATCCGCATTGGGCCAGCTTGAAGAGTCTTCTTCGTTCTTCCTTAACCTCCAAAAGGAAGGATTTAGCAAATAGGGCTAATGTTGATGATGATGATAAGTATTACGTACAGATTAAAGTTCCTAGTATAATTTTATATGTTTACTATTTATTGTGCTGTAAAATAAATCACTTTCATGTTGTTCATTTATACACTGATTGGTCCACTTGACAAATCTTACACTGACTATTGAATATATGGCACAGTTGCAATGCCTCTTCTATTAGAAATTTTCATTAGATTAAAGCGACATTACCCATACAAATTTGACATTCATTAGAACTTAAAAGCGTCATTCAATCTTAATGGACGACTATTTTCAGTTGCTTTGTGCAACTGAAAATAGTCAATGTAAATTAAGATTTTTATCAAACAAATTAAAAATATTTTTATATACTTTCTACAGTTACAGTGTTAATCTAGGTTTTCTATAGAAGTGTCCATGGTTTTATTTAGTTTCATTACATAAACATATTTTTAATCTTAACCATTCTTTGCGACGCTGAGACTGTCGATGTCGTAATAAAGTTTGAATATAGGCTGTTTTAGTCTTGTATTATATAGTTTTAATATGTATAGTTGTTTTACTCGCTTTTTATCGTTGTCAGGTTGTAGTCGGGCAGTCTCAACGGTTCCTAGAACAAGAGGAGGGCGGATATCGGCCCTGCGATCCCGCTATTACAGTGGAACGTATTCAACAGCTGGAGAATGCGTACGCTGAACTCGTACATCTGGCCGTCGAACGCAGGTATAATAATCTTTCACCACAGATATTATATTCTTATTATACATACGATATTGCACTTCTTTGATATTAAAACAAATATGATGACGCTTTATGAATTTTATACAGGAAGCGTCTGGAAGACAGCCGCAAGTTGTGGCAGTTCTATTGGGACATGGCTGACGAAGAGAACTGGATCAAGGAGAAGGAACAGATCGTATCTGTCGATGACATTGGACACGACCTTACTACAGGTGATAACTGACATTGTATATGTTAATAAGTGATGATGATAATGACTGAATCATACTCTAGTTCTGAACTGAGTTTGGAAAATTTGGTACAATGATAGACTTTGTCATGGAGCTAATAGGGTGCATTTTATAATGTTTTCTAAAAGGATCAAGTTAGAAGCACACTTATAAATTCAAGTGTTTAAAACATTTCTAACTTTTTACTGGCACATGGATTATTTTTTCTTTTAATATCTGACTTTTAAATACGAAATAAATTTATCGATGACTGCAAGTGAATTTAAAGCCGCATTTTAATTTCCTGAACACTCGTTTATAAATAGTATTTTTTCGCTTTCAAAATTTACCAAACGATTTTACAATGGTTTTAATGTCTTTTTTTTTATTATTCGGTGATATTTAATTAGTATTATTTTGTGGCAGTGTACCTGCTGATATCTAAGCACAAGGCTCTAGAAGCGGACGTTCTCGCCCACGAGCCACAACTGATGACAGTTGCAGCTGTTGGTGACGAACTCATCTCGCAAGGACACTTCGGTGCGGACAGGATACAGGTGAATATCTTATATCAACTTTATTGTCACAAACATAAATTTTAAAATTAATCAATATTTTATTCGATAAAATTTCGTTTTACCTCGTACAGTATTGAATTATTACGTCATTACCTTGAGTGAGAGAGGTAACAATCTCTATGATTTGTGGCATAGCTATGACCAGCATAGATGGATATTTGTTCGTGACTGAGACTGTTACAATGGATCAGTTTTTAGGTTAAATTTGCTATTATGCCACAAGGTGTTGACTTGCAACAGATCCCCGACGAAAGCTTGCGTCAGTCGGGTCAAACTTGTGTTTTCTACTTAACTGAGGCATCAAACAAACATTGACCCAGATTCGAATCATATTATCGTATTGTTAAACAGTTCTGTTTCAATTTTACCTGTGATATTAGGTAATTGTTCAATAAGACTGTGCATTATGTAATATGAGGTTGGTTTACTTGTTTAGGATCGTCTCCGCGACATCCTATCTCAGTGGAATCACTTGTTGGACGTGGTTTCACTCCGCAAGAATCGTCTCGACGCCGCCGTACGGTACCATCAACTGTTCGCAGACGCTGACGACATCGATAACTGGATGCTGGATACGCTTAGGTATAGTTTGTGATATTAGACAGTGTACGATATTAAGCAGGGGTTGGCGACTCACCGCAAGCGATCCTTTACCGCCACGGGTTCCGAGGGCTGGGTTCTGGAACGGGGTGCGTCGACGCGGTTACCAGCGAATATATCATACACGATATATAGTCCATAGGCACTGATCCACCGTTCTTCCGAAATGTCCTTATTCTCGATAACGAACAATTCACCAAGCTCAATCAAAATTAGGTGCGCGCAGTTAACAATTTGAAATCACAGTAGTAAACCGTCACCCAAGGATTAAGGGTGGGGATTTGGAACGCAGACAGCTAATCGCCTTGCCCATAGACAATAAAAATTTTACCCACAGTTGTGTTGTCTTTGTATAGCCAATTATCAATGATCTGTTTCGTTACGGAACATGCCGCTCACCTTAAAGGAACGTGCCTTTAACATTAAATGAACAAATTGAATATTAAATTTAGAACAAAATAAAATATAAATAAAAAACTTAGAACTAAGATTCGATATGCAACGATTAATTGTTTATTCGATAGGGAGTGGACACACCTTTACAACAGGTCGCTTGTAAAATGTATTGCCCCTTTGTAAAGTCACCACACGAGTAACATTATCCGAACCTGGATGTAGAGCATGGACACGTGCTAGTTTCCATTGTAATGGTGGCAGGTGATCATCGCAAACTACCACAATAGTACCCTCACGAATAGAAGACCCGCGAGTCTCAAACCATTTTTGACTTTGCTGAATCTCATGAAGATACTCTCTACTCCATCTCTTCCAAAAATGCTGAACGGACTGCTGTACCCAGCGCCAACGCGTAAGTCGATTAGTATTCTCGTCCACCAAAGAAACATCAGGCAAAGCAATCAAAGGTTCTCCTATCAGAAAGTGTGATGGAGTTAAAGGAAGCGGATCAGGCGAAGCACTGATTGCACAGAGTGGACGCGAGTTCAGTATAGCCTCTATTTGACATAGGAGGGTATGCATCTCGTCATATGTTTGAGTACGAGTGCCAATAACACGATGTAGATGATGCTTAAAACTTTTGACACCCGCCTCGAATAGCCCACCGAAATGACTTGCGTATGGTGGCTGAAAGTGCCACGTTAGGCCTTGTTTAAGTGTCTCTCGATTTAAATTAGCCTGTACAGAGTCGCTGTTTAAGAACGCGAACAAATCCCTTAAATAATTATTACATCCGACAAAGTTCTTCCCACAGTCCGAAAAAATATCAGTACATAAACCTCGACGGGATGTGAAACGCCGCAAAGCCGCGAGAAAAGCTTCCGTGGAAAGCTCGGACACAAGCTCTAAATGTATGGCCTTAACGCTCATACATACAAAAACTGCAACGTAACATTTCACAACTTTAGCATTGCGCACCTTATTTGCACGTACGTAAAAAGGACCCGCGTAATCTACGGCGGTCTTAATAAAGGGTCGCGAGGGACGTAAACGAGTAGCAGGTAACGGTGCCATACGTGGCTGATTAGACTTAGGACGAGAGCGAAAACAAATAACACAGCGATGTATGCGCTGGCGCACGATATCGCGACAAGAAAGTATCCAAAAACGTTGTAATAATAAGTATTGGACTGTTTGTGGGCCGGCATGTAAATACTTTATATGCGCATCGTCAATAATGAGATTGGTTAAAGTATGTTTTTTCGGTAAAATTAATTGATGCTTTGATTCAAATGGTAAAAGAGACTTATGAATTCTGCCTCCCACACGTAAAAATTGATTTTCATCCAGAAATGGCGTTAAACGACGTAATTGATTTGAAGGCAATTTACCCTTTGAAATGTTTTCAATGTCATTACTGAACACACTATGTTGCACTAAATAAATAAGTTTTTTTAAGGAAAAATTATATTCCGGCACAGTTATATAATTAGGGCAAGATTTAATGTGTTTTTTACATTTGAAATAAAATCTAAATATTATTGCAGTAACGCGAACAAGTTTTCCTAACGTAGAAAATCGAGAAATTATCTCTACATCCGGTAAGGGATCCAGTGTAGTTAAATTAGTGTTAATCAAATTAATATTGAGACGCTTTTCCTCTTCCGTTGTATAGTAAGACTTTGATTCCGGCCAGCAAGCTTCGTCCTGTCGGAGCCAACTTGGACCTTGGAACCACAAATCATGTTCTATAAATACGCCAGGTAGCATACCACGAGACGCAGCATCAGCAGGGTTATCGGTCGACGGTACATGTCGCCAGCAGTTAACGGGAACGCGTGAAAGAATCTCGCTAGTGCGATTAGAAACAAATGTTTTCCATTCATGTGGTGGCGAACGTAACCACGCTAACACTATGGATGCATCAGACCAAGCGTAAACTTGATCACCCTTGACGTAATCTGAGTAGGTAACTAACACCTGCTGTAGTAGTTTTGACAACAATAGGGCTGCCATAAGTTCGAGACGGGGAATAGTAAGACGCATACGAAGTGGAGCGACTCGAGTTTTGGCTATAATAAGCGAAGTACGAACATGCCCGTCTTTGCCCGTAAGGCGTATGTATACACAGGCGGCAAAAGCCTTTTCTGAAGCATCGGCAAAGCCATGAATCTGAACAGATCCTAAATCAGAAAAAATGTGCCTTGGGAACGACACATTCGAAATAAATGGTAACTGACTACTAAATGATTTCCATGAATTAACAATATCAATCGGCGGTGCTTCATCCCAACCTATATTGGCTATCCACAAAAGTTGGATCAAATGTTTGGCATATAAAGTAACTGGCGCTAAAAGGCCCAATGGATCGTATATTTTAGCTATCTCGGAAAGAATAGCGCGCTTGGTGCTTAAGCAAGGTGATATTTTGACATTAAAATTGAAACAGTCGGAAATAGGGTTCCATTGAAGTCCAAGGACCTTGACCTGTTCATCGTGTTCCATTTCGGCGAATCGGACTTCATCGAGCCGCTCACCATGAGAATCTGGGGGAATTACTGCAGCAAGTACCTCTGGTGAATTACTATGCCACTTTCGAAGCTCGAAACCCGCCGTCTTACAAATATTAATAAGCTCTTGTTGAACTACTAAAGCTTCATGAACAGTAGAGGCACCGGAAGTGACGTCATCTACGAAAACATCATTTAATAAAACCTTAGAAGCAAGTTTGAATCGTGAAGCCTCATCTATAGCCAATTGCTGGATAGTTCGGAGAGCCAGATATGGAGAGCAATTCACTCCAAATGTGACTGTAGAAAGACGATAATCACGGATAACCTCATCAGGCGACTTCCGCCATAAAATGCGCTGAAAATCCCTATCTTCCTTTCGAACTAAAATATTCCTAAACATTTGTTTGATGTCAGCAGTGAAGGCCACTGAATGAATACGAAATTTTAAAATAACATTAACTATATCTAAATGAAGTTTAGGACCTGTCAACAAAATGTCATTCAATGAGTAGCCACTAGAAGTTTTACACCCGGCGTCGTAAACTACTCGAGTGCGAGTGGTCTCACTGGATTCTTTGACCACGCAATGATGCGGAATATAATAAGTGGCCCCTGATGTCGGCTCGCCCTTAACGGGCTCCATGTGCTTCATATCCAGATACTCTTGGAGACAGGCATGATAGTCTTCCTTAAGCTTCGGGTTTCGCTCGAGACGAAACTCTAACTTACGAAAGCGCGCAAGTGCAGTTTGACGGGATTCGCCTAGAGGGGGAGCCTCCGGCTTAAAAGGCAAAGCGACCACGTATCGCCCCGTTGCGTCACGTATATGCGTCTTTTGAAAAAAGGATTCGCATATTTCTTCATCAGGAGTGTAACTCCGTTTTTCAGGAAGTGACTCTAATTCCCAAAATCTCTGAAGGTTGTCATTGTCAAATGAACTAAAACAAACTTGAAGTTGAGACGGAGAGGAAACAATATCTAGTTTACCTAACAATAAATAACCGAATATACTATTTACTGCTATCGGTGAACCTGGTAAGCCCGTAATGACGTCACTCAAAAGCACATGGGATAGTATATCCGCTCCTAATAACAGGTCCACTGGCTGTGGCGTATGAAAAGCGGAATCCGCTAAATTTAAATCTTTTATATGAGGCCAACCAGTGTACGGTAACTGCATACTCGGCATTTGTGAAATTAATTTGTTTAAAATTAAAAGATTTACCGGAACTAAGGGTTCTAATCTACCCTTAGGCGCGATATTACAATTTATAAATCCTTTGCTACGCGCCGCTTCACTATTGCCTATACCGAACACAGAAACATTAACATGCCCGCGCATCAAACCCAGACGCTGCGCACACGCCTCAGTGATAAAACTCGCCTGACTTCCAGTGTCTATAATGCAGCGAACGGTCGCTATTTTCACCGCACCTATGCATACGTCGACGAGTGCCGTAGACAATAGCACCGTAGTCGTACGAGCGAACGCGGCATTGGACGCGCAACAATTATGAATCACGTTCTCACCGGCGGGAGCAACGCACTGCGGATCATTCGTGGTAGCGGTTACAGGCATCTCAGCTACCACTGAAGGTGGGAGCGAGACTGCATTATTTGCAGATATTTTATTATCAGTAATCGGTAACGATTTACTTGAAAAGTGAATTAATGTGTGATGTCGCTTATGACATGTACGACAGACAAAACTAGAATTGCATTGATTCACATCATGCCCAAAATGCAAACAATTATAACAAATATTTTTCTTACGAACTAAAGCAAATCTATCTTGAGGGGATAAGTTTAAAAATTGCGAACACTTTGTCAACGTATGTTGAGCATTACAACATAAGCAATTTCTATTCTTATGATTCTGTTCATAAGACCGATTATCATTCGACGGTTTTGAAACTGGTGTGACATTAGCAGCAAACGAACGAAGTTGCCGTTGCTGCAACTGGTTTTCTACGCGATTATTGTGACGGTGGCGCATATTCACATTAGCCACACTAGAAAATTTATTGTACTGTCCGCTGTTAGTCGAACAGATAATTTCCTCAGCTGATATTTCGCGTTCTAAGAAACAAATCAATGTGCTAACGTTTGGAATGTCTGACGAATTAGTTAAAGAACGTTCATAAGATTTACGAGTGTTAATAGGTATTTTTCGTAACAAAATGCTAAGTAACAAAAAACTCCATTCGCTTACGGGAAAGTGCATAATCTCCAGTGCTTTAATGTTTTCTTGGTAGACATTTAATAAATTACGTATACTTTGAGACGATCTATCGGAACACTGTTCGATGTCGAGAATTCTGTCAAGGTGTTTTGAGGCAATAACTCTTTTATTCTCATAACGAGATATCAAAATATTTAAAGCTACCGAATAGTTCTCGTCTGTAATAGGGATAGATTTAATTAAATTGTGGGGTTCGTTGTGTACCGTAAGTAATAAGTAACGGAATTTTTCCGCCTCTGTGTAGGCACTGTTTAAATGGACTAATGATCGAAACAAATCGAAATAGGAAGGCCAATCCGTAGGATCGCCGCTGAAATTAGGCAAAGGCAAAGTTGGTAAATTCTTATTATAATTAGATGACTGAACTAAAGGCGTTATTAACGGACGACTCATACGTCGTTGCTCTTCATCCACCCTCTTTAAATTATTTAAATTAGTGATAATAGCGTAGTACAAATCATTGAAATCGTTGCGTATCTTAATCTGTTCCTCTTTGTTAAAAGACCTTAACTTGATTAACGTTTTTTCAATTTTAGTTTGAACTTTATTGAATTTACGTTGGTGAGAATTTAAATCAGTAGTTCGCGAGCGAAACTGTTGGACATCTGTCGCTGCGAACTGTAATGTCCGTTTTAACTCATCGAGAATAAGATCTCGTTCGAATAAATCTTGTTCACACGGCGATTCATCATCAGACATTTTGCGTAACAAAGATGACTGCTTCGAATTCGCTGCGTCACTATCCATGATAATAAGTACGTAATACTGTTTAGAGACAACACAACTGAAAGATAGCAATCCGGTTCGAACGGATCAAAAGAAATTATGTACGATATTAAGCAGGGGTTGGCGACTCACCGCAAGCGATCCTTTACCGCCACGGGTTCCGAGGGCTGGGTTCTGGAACGGGGTGCGTCGACGCGGTTACCAGCGAATATATCATACACGATATATAGTCCATAGGCACTGATCCACCGTTCTTCCGAAATGTCCTTATTCTCGATAACGAACAATTCACCAAGCTCAATCAAAATTAGGTGCGCGCAGTTAACAATTTGAAATCACAGTAGTAAACCGTCACCCAAGGATTAAGGGTGGGGATTTGGAACGCAGACAGCTAATCGCCTTGCCCATAGACAATAAAAATTTTACCCACAGTTGTGTTGTCTTTGTATAGCCAATTATCAATGATCTGTTTCGTTACGGAACAGACAGTTTACTTATTCGAAAAATAAAATTAGACAGACTACTTGTTCCAAAATTGAAATAGATATATATAATTTTTGTTTCGATATGCTTGAACTGAAAGGTCATTCGAAAATTTCGTAGATGACGAGGGAGTTATTTGCTGTGCATATTTTTATAAGCATAGTGAAAGTGAGGAGAGTTCTTACTTTTATTTTTATAAACAAAAGTTATGGCACTTCTTTATTTTTATCTCGATATATTTTTCATAGATTGGTGTCATCCGAGGATACAGGTGTTGACGAAGCTCAAGTGCAAAGTCTACTCAAGAAACACAAGGACGTCACTGACGAGCTCAAGAATTATGCCAATGTTATTCAGCAGCTCAAACAACAGGTAAACATATCCAAAAGCATTTTTCTTCTCGTCTCGTTTCAGTGATTCCAGTCAATCTCGGGTTTACGTTTAGTAAACTTAAGTAATAAATTGCATTTCTATAAAAACAAATTAAATTATCGAACTATTTGAAATTACATTTTCTTTTTTCTGGAAATCTCATTAAATTACGCAATTAAATAAAAATCTTTAACAGATAACAAGACATGACTGGCAAAGGAGAATTAGAAAGAAAACGCATTTTTTTTTGTATGGGGATTCAGAGTTACTATCTCAACACAGCAAATCACTTCAGATTATCTCAATACGCCATATTACAAAAGTGACTATATAAAAATAACTAAAAACTGACAATATTTTTATTCATTAAAACAGCAGTATGATTCAAATATAGCAAATACATAGATCATCCGACATAAACATCCAAAGAGTAAAGTATAAGTATAAGGAATAAACATCGATAGATTGACACTAGACGGTTCCATATTTCGATGATCTTCATGCTTTTGAGTTTCTAAAGTAAATGTGCAATGTATTTTTCTTAATTAGATAGAATAAAACTATTTAATACTATTTATAATGATTATTTTACACTATAAATATGCACTTGTGAACTTAGACGGTAACTAAAGGACGAAGGATATTTAGATCATTGTCAGTTTATAAAAACAAGCTCAATGTATATGGAACGTTATTTTTCGGATATGCATTTTTTACATGTCAAAAGTAGTTTTATTAGACAAAATCATTTACATTGCTCAGATTTCAAGATGAGTAGCTAAAGCCCTTGTATTATGGGATATTTGAGACAACACTGAGACCTGAGACAATAGAGAAAGTCCATTTTCTACATTGACCCGACCGGGGATCGAACCAGGGTCCTCAAAGACCCACTTTATTTAAGGGTCTATTTAAAATAAATATATTTTCGTTTTAGAATAAAGTCTATGTAAATAATTTTCAACATAAGTTTGTTTTCATCCTGAAAATAATAATTAAAAATTGCAAAAAATGGGGTAACTTTAAAATATTCAAACGCCATGCAACTCGTCAGAACGGATGTGACGAAAATATTAAATGTCGTTGTTTCAAAAAGTTAACATCGATGCAATAATATCAATGTTTTATGTCGCAAGATAAACAACAGGTTTATTTTTTAAATTATGTTTTAGGCTTTTATTTCATCAATTTGGTAAACTGATAATATGATTATTAAAAAAGTTTGTATTACACTTTAAAAAATCAATTAGTTGTTAATCGGTTGGGTAATTGAATAATAATCAATCACTCAAAATCCAAATTGATTTAAAATGGCATATCTAGTCGTGTACTTTGATGTCAAAATTTCCGGAGTCAAATATTCCGGCGTTTAAACTGCTCGCAGTTACTGATTTTCAACAATTATTATTGTTACAAAATTTTAGTTTTGCGGTGGCGCGTATTTTGTTTTAAAGTTATATAACGTTGTAAATGATTATATGAAAAGTATAAAAAAAAAATGCATATTACCTATTACACAGTGTATATGTTTTGTTGCAGGCAAGCGAACTCAGTCCCGAGGACGCGAACAGTCCCGAGGTTCGCGAGCGTCTCGCCGCTATCGACGCTCGTCACGGCGAACTCGCGGAACTCGCGCGTCTCCGTAAACAGCGGCTGTTGGACGCGTTGTCGCTGTTCAAGTTGCTCGCTGAAGCGGACGCTGCTGATCAGTGGATCGCCGAGAAGGACAGGATGCTGGACACTATGCTGCCGCCCAAGGATATTGACGATGTCGAGATCATGAAGCACAGGTGAGAAGAATATTAATAACACACACGCAAAAACATGTACATTTTACTACAGAGATAAATAGGGTATTTGGCACTTTTCTAAAAATTATTTTAAATTCTTAAAAAGGAGCCGACTATCTTGGCCTAGCCCGTAGTCGGTTCTCACTACCAGTGTTTGCTAAGAGAAAACATATTTATAATAATTCTTTTATTGCAAGTCACTTGTAATAAGAATTATCAAGTGGTATTGAAAGTCAAAGCCATGACGATATCTCGGCATGAATGATGTTTTAAATTATTTAATAGTGTGTAGTATTATCATTCCGTTACTTATTGGTATCTGCCGAGGAAGGAATGCCGAGCACATCCGGACCGTAAATACGTGTAAACGAGCCATAACATGTGTGGTGATTTTTTATTATATCATAAGAAGACCTACAGCTAATAAACAGAAATAATATTAAGATTGTATGTCGCACCAGATACGACGGTTTCGACAAGGAGATGAACGCAAACGCGTCTCGCGTGGCGGTGGTGAACCAGTTGGCGCGTCAGCTGATCCACGTGGAGCACCCGCAGGCGCCCGCCATCCAGCAGCGGCAGCAGGATCTCAACCAGGCCTGGAGTGCACTCAGGGAGAAGGTAACACACCTTACTAAGTTTAATATTCCTTATTAGGGGGGAGGAGGATAATCCCTTATAGTTGGCATTTTTATTAGCGTCATCGTACGTAGCCAGGCAACTAAATATGGAGCTTAAAGTTGTTTAGCAACACAAATGTTGACTTCAAAACCCTGTGAACTGAAACGCCAACAGTGATGTGGCTTGAAGTTGTTTAGTAACACAATTCAATGAAAATTTATTTTGATTTCATTCATAGTGTTATTTCTAATAAGTAGAAGAAAATATTTCGATAATAAAATCCCTATCGACATATAATAGGGTATTCTACTCTGTTTGAAATAATACATGTAACTGTTTAATTTAATTTAGAAACGCCAAAGAACAAATATTTCAGAAAAATAATGTTGTCATACCAATTTATATAAATTTTACTGCCAATATTCTCGCACAGTATGACAAAAAAAATGGAAGCGTGGGTTCTCTTTTCCCTATATTTATATACTTTATGCTTTGCCTTACTCAAAGGACAAAACGGAGCTCTATTATCAAGACTATATTGTAATGATAATTTAGTTAATAAACTATTGGTATGATAAATGTTATAAAGTATATATTTAATAAGTGAAATTAATTTTCTTGTTTCATAATGTAAAAAAATCATCCTGTAATCAGTGGAGTATGTGGGACTTATGTACCTAATTAATATCATTTGTATTATATTTTGGCAAATAAATTATTATTATTAAGAATACGATGGCCATTCACAGACGGTTCAGAACGAAGATGAATTTAATGAGAGTGATTTTTTTTGTTTAATTTTTTAATGTTATTCTGAAGTTGTTCCCAATACTATCAAAGAGAATGGTAATTTTGTTGCAGACCTCAAAAATATCACTGATAATAAAAGGTGATTTCTTTCTGATTGATTTATGGTGATTCTTCAAAAATAATATATATGTAGCATCCATAAAGTCGGTTAACAAATTCAATGTACTTTTGAAGTCAGGCGGTTTTCTAGAAAATCTTCGTTCGACTTACGACGTCCATAGTTTTAGAAATTTTAGTTCAGTATTTGATTGTATATAAATTGCCAGGCGGAGTCGAAGAAGGACGAACTAAAGTCCGCTCAGGGCGTGCAGACGTTCCATATAGAATGCCGCGAGACCGTCTCCTGGATCGAGGATAAGAAGCGTATTCTACAGCAGACTGACAACCTTGAGATGGATCTTAACGGTAAGAGCTTATAAATACATTGATCTGTAAGTTTCATAAGTTTTATTTTTCTTGTGACCGTAATAAATATACCGTGTGACATTAAACTGAAAATAAAGCAAAAGTAAACTATAACTAACATCATACATTTATTACACTTTATAAAAGTACAAGTAAAAATTTTTTTAAATAAATATATTTAGAAAATAAAATAAAGAACCCAATTAAAAGAATTAGCATTATAATAAAGATAAAAATACATAGACTTCAAATTCATTGTAATATATCAAAGCAAAGCGTGGCTGGATATACTATAAATCAATAAGTGAGATCTTCTGTACATTGTGTTGTAAAGATAAATCTGCTCACAATTTGTGGAGAAATTATAAGTTTAGAGGACTAATTTTAGTACCAGGTTTAAACCGTTATCCGACCAAAATGAGTCAAAACGTTCCATTATGACGTTTTCGCTGCCGCCGTCGCCGAGCATAGAGAATGTCGTACAATATTCAATAAGTTTATTGTTACCATAGATAATTTAAAATAATGTTACATAGTTGGGATAATCGGCTTTACGTATCTCTTTCACGCGTGCGCAATCATATTGCTATTTCGATCGCACAAATGTAGCCAATTTTGTAATAGCGATGCATAAAGGTCAACGTAATTTTTTTTTTTTCTCTTTGGCGACTTTAGTTCTCGTTTTATAATAAGACTATTTGGGGTTTTCAATTGTTTTATCGTGAGGTTGATTCCAGGTGTAATGACTCTACAACGCCGCCTGTCTGGTATGGAGCGAGACTTGGCCGCCATACAGGCGCGTATTACGTCTCTAGAGAGCGAAGCAAGCGCCATAGAGGATGAACATCCAGACGAGGCTCAACTCATACGAGACCGTATTCACGCGATCACTGACAACTGGGAACAGCTCACGCAAATGGTCAGTAATACATATCATATTTTATTTAGTTTCGTAATTGGGATGACGAATAATTTTTCTTTGTTTGTCCGTCAGGTAGATTGTTGAAACATATTCAACTCGTATTTTTTTTTCGTAATCATTTACGTAACAAATTACGGTGACACATTGAGTTAAAATGTCACATGACGTCACGCTTTGGTATATTTTCTACAAAACTGTGACGTAGCGAGCCCCCACTCCTGAACAATAATGCCTGTTATCTAAGCTATTCCTTGATAATTGAAGTAAAAAATATGTATCTAATATTTTTCTATTTAGTCTGAATAGAATTTATTCATTTTTTTCACCCAGTCGTCATCCCTATTGTAATTTTCCTTACTCTTTGATGCACCATATATCCATCAATTATTTTCAGTCAATTCAGTCCAACGTACAGTTGCCTGGAAGAAATTGTTTTTAGCGATTATCCTATTAATTTATGCTTGTATGCATGTTTTTCTTGTGGTGTATAAAGTGTTCATTCATTGATCTTTATGCCATAAGTTTACTTTTAGTGGTTTAGCTAGCCTAGTATAAAAAATTATTTCAATGTAATAAATAAGAGTTTTTAATTCCGTTCAGCTCAAAGAGCGTGATGCTAAATTGGAGGAAGCCGGCGATCTTCACCGTTTCCTGCGCTCTGTCGACCACTTCCAGGCTTGGCTCACCAAGACCCAGACCGACGTTGCTTCCGAAGGTAACGCTTATAAATTATTACTTTACTAGACTAAAAAATTTAATTCGCTGATTCTAATCAGAAATTAGGTGAATGTAATGATCAAAAACATCTAATCCAATACGGTCAGATTACAAAATTACAGTACTATTGAAATAGCGTCAGCGTGGTCGGGAGAAATGATACTACTATGTTCCAGGTTGTAGATCTCTATTTAACTAAACAATATTCGTCTTATATACTCCTTAAATCTAAGAGGGGATATAAGGGTACGTTATATGTAACTGCTAAGGAAGCACATTCACCGAACGTGAATTATTTGCATATTAGTGCATTCCATCCAAATCACGTTTATAACTTGATTCTTAATATTCACATACTACACTATTAGCTTTTTGTAAATTAATTATTATTACTTACATATTCTTTCTTTTTCCATAATAGACACGCCGTCAAGTTTGGCGGAAGCAGAGAAACTGTTGTCACAGCATCAGACCATCAAGGAGGAGATCGACAACTACAAGGACGAGTACGCTAAGATGATGGAATACGGAGAGAAGATCACTGCAGTAAGTTTCCAATATAATATTTTTCTATTTCTCTGATACTATGTAACTGTATATATACTTTTTATTGCACAAAAAAAACAATAGTAGATAAATTACAAGCAAGGGTGGGCTTATCTCTATAAGAGATCTCTTCCTTCGGTGGTGTGGGAGATCAAGCAGTAACGGGAGACTGACAAGTGCATAATTGTAAAATTTCATGTCAATTAATATTAAGATACATATAGATAATACATATATAAAAAATACATAAATAAAAAATATTATATAATGCTTATAATATATAAATACAATTAATATACATACGTAAAAAAAAAACAAACACTACAAAATTACGAATAAGAACATTGTGCTAGAAAGTGCTCCTTGAGTGTAGTTTTGAAAGATAATATAGAGGGGCTTGATCAACAGCCCATACGGCAAAGGAGTTGAAGAGAAAGTTGGTGTACCTTTCTATGTACATATATAAAAGTTCACTCATCACGAAATCTCAGAAACTACAAGTGATAGAATTTACAAATTTTGCATGAGGCCTATTTTTAAGACTTAGGTGCTCACCAAGACGGGGTTTAGCGAAATTCGACCCTAACGACCACTGAGGAAGAGCTAAATGACGAAAAGTTTGTGTGTTTGGTCTGCAATACAGTTGTTAAGCAAGTTCCAAAGGGTCAGTCGTAGGATGGCTGACAAAAAAATATTTTCTTGAGCTTCGGAAGGCACGTTAAGCTGTCGGTCCCGGTTGCATCGGCAGTCGTTAACGTCCACTGATCCGAACTGGACCCACGTGGTGGGTTAACTCGATTCCATCCATACGGCACGCTTGTGTTCCTGCAGTGGGACGTTAGGATGATGATGACCACCTAATGGTTTTTGGGGTTAATAGTATGCATGTCATGATAAGTAAACTAATAGTAATGCATATCGAACGTCCGAAGTGCTCCTAACAAATTAGCATTCAAGACAGCAGTTCGCAACTTCTATTATGCTTCAAACAAGATTTCTTGATCTGACACCATATTTTGTTTCGGACTTTGTGTTTTTGTTATATATATGCATTTATTTATGTATATGTATGTATGTCTATTATTGTATGTATTTTTACATAAATTTAGATATAGTTCTTATGTAGAGATATCAATAGCGTATTGTCGCCAATCGCCACTTTAAGTTTTGTACTAAATTTACTGGTTGACAGGTAGAGAATGCCTTTGGCATTAAGTCCGTCATTTGTCTATTTTAATAAATATATATTATATATATATATATATATATATATATATATATAAATGTTTGTGTCCAACAGGAGCCGTCGACACAAGACGATCCACAGTACATGTTCCTGCGCGAGCGCTTGAAGGCTCTGCGCGAGGGATGGGCGGAGCTGCAGCAGATGTGGGAGAACCGGCAGCAGCTGCTCGCCCAGAGCCTGGAGCTGCAGCTGCTGCAGCGGGACGCGCGGCAGGCGGAGGTGCTGCTGGCGCACCAGGAGCTCAGGTTACCTATCTTTTTTTTATAGTAGGTTAATGTTTTATGCTCTGTGCCCGCTGCTTGACAAAGGTGTGGGATCCAATGCGTCGTACAACGGAGAAGACTGAGTGCATTAGAGCCTCGACCCAGATAGCCGTGGGACGTGTACATTATATGTATTTTATATATTGACGCTGGAAAGCAAAAATGTAGTAACTCGCAAAACTAAAAGTGTTCTTCAGAGCATAAAAACGAATTTCTTTTCGATAAATAATTGTTATAAACGTCCATGGTAATAAATAAGGTGTTCCTTAGTCGATTTATACGGAAATAAGATTTTTTTTTAATTTAAAGATTTTCCTCTCCAAATGTCTATTTCGGTTTTGCAGGTTACTACGTGTTTGCTTTACAGTGTCGATATAACCTGTTGGTATTACTAGTTAGATATTGTAACTTTGTTCTTATAATGATACCGCCTTTTGAATGTTCTCTACACCTAAACCGGTGAACGGTTTGATTGGTGGAGAATGGCTTTTTGGCATTAAGTCCGCCATCTGATATTTTATATGCATAAAGATTAAATAAATAATAACCAGATGGTTGTCAATCATCTAGTCTACCCCTTTAGAAGTGCGCTATTGGGCTATCTGAAGCTACTACCATTTACTACGGTATATGCGATGCCACCTACGCCTATACTGTACTACTCGCTCTGCCAGTTTTGCAGACCGGTCCTCATATGTCCCTGTAAGTACTACCCCTCGTGCTGCATGTGCTCGTCCTCCCGCCGGCTTTGGAAGCCAGCCAATCCTCGTACTCCCAAGGGAACACTAGTCTACAAAAGGACCTTTCGTCCATCGGTCGTTACACGTCGAACCGCAGACTTGAAGGCCGCCTCTCGTTTTCCTTGGAATCATTACAGAAGAAGGAGGAGGCTTACGGCGTTGACTCTATTCTCTGGGAAAGTTGTTTGGGAAATCAACAAATTGTTTCAAATGTTTACCATTTATTTCGTGGTTCCCACAGAAGAATATTATAACTGAGCCATGTGGCCAGGTCTAGTTATGTTTGTATTTATTCAAAGCTTTTTTTTTAGATTGGCAAAAACCGAGCCCCCGACAAATCTGGAACAAGCGGAAAACCTCATCAAAGAGCACGAAGCCTTCCTCACCACGATGGAAGCAAACGACGACAAGATCAACTCGGTTGTGCAATTCGCCAACAGACTCGTCGAAGAAAGACATTTCGACGCCGACAAAGTGCAAAGAAAGGTAAACTAAACATCTTTCTTTTCTTCAATATGGATTTGAATCAAACAATAATAAAATAATCGAATCTCAATTTTAATACAATATTTTTACATTGATAGGTTTTGGTAATTATCAGAATGTGTTTATGTGTTTGTATCTCTAGCTAATTTTAATTTTAACAAATAATACTTTAGTCACCCGTTATTTTATCTTCTAGGCTGATAGTATTGAGCAAAGACGCAACGCAAACCGCGAACGAGCGCTCCAACAGATGGAGCGGCTTCAGGATCAACTTCAGCTTCATCAGTTCCTCCAAGATTGCGACGAGCTCGCCGAATGGGTGCAAGAGAAGAATGTTACCGCTCAAGATGACACGTATCGTTCAGCGAAAACTATCCACTCCAAATGGACACGCCATCAGGCATTCGAAGCCGAAATCGCTGCCAATAAGGAACGCCTATTCGCCGTACAGAACGCGGCCGAAGAGCTGATGAAACAAAAACCGGAGTTCGTAGAAGTGATCTCACCTAAAATGCATGAGCTCCAGGATCAGTTCGAGAATCTTCAGACAACCACTAAAGATAAGGGCGAGAGATTATTCGACGCCAATCGTGAGGTGCTCCTCCACCAGACTTGCGATGATATCGACTCGTGGATGAACGAGTTGGAGAAGCAAATCGAGAACACCGACACCGGCACTGATCTGGCATCTGTCAATATTCTAATGCAGAAGCAACAGATGATCGAGACTCAGATGGCCGTCAAAGCTAAGCAGGTGAATATCTTCATATACAAGAAAACATCTTTCTGTATATTCTGATCCATGAAACTAAAATAATAATAATATTTATTTCCCAAGATAACATTTACAAATTTATGATTTACTGATCCCCACACTAGGCAACACCTGACCTGTGGGAACAGCAGAGTTCGATTTCAATTACAATTGTTAATGGCACTTTACAGTGTGTAAATTAAATAAAAGAAAATAAACTAAAAAACAATTATTGAATCTAAGTAATGTTACAATGAAAAGGTTAACGAAAGAGGGCGCACTAGAGCGGCGATTCATATGACGGATCGTCTTTTAACGTGAATATTTTTATACGAGTATATTAGTAACCTGAAGTCCCATGAATTCACACAAAAGTGTGAAGAGAATTTAGCTAGAATGCTCACTTTTACAATCATATTAACGATATTGAACTTTTATTGTAAAGTAAGATAAATCGAAATAAGTTATTTGACTAAAAATAGTTATATGCCTGTTTGTAGGCTTCCGTACCCAAAGGGTAAATCGGGCCACTATTGCTAAGACTTCGCTGTCTTATCTGTTTGTCACCAGGCTCAGATCTCAAGAACCGTGAAAGTTAGACAGTTGAAATTTTCACAGATGATCCATTTCTATAAAAACCAGTATAAAATACATTTTAATGTGGATTCCCATACAATAAACGTGATTTTTTTCGCAACTTCGTGCGCGAGTCACTTCGCCGTTTTTAAGCATGTATTTTTGTCTAGTAACACTAGTGTCTAAATTAATCACACGATTATCCACAGGTGACCGAGCTGGAAACCCAGGCGGAATACCTGCAAAAGACTGTGCCGGACAAGATGGAGGAGATCAAAGAAAAGAAGAAATCTGTCGAACAAAGATTCGAGCAACTGAAGGCGCCTCTATTGGACCGGCAAAGACACTTGGCCAAGAAGAAGGAGGCATTCCAATTCAGACGGGACGTCGAGGATGAGAAACTGTGGATCCACGAGAAAATGCCTTTGGCTACTAGCACCGATTACGGCAACTCCCTGTTCAACGTGCAAATGCTGCAGAAGAAAAATCAGTCATTGAAAACTGAGACTGATAATCATGAACCTCGAATACTGACTGTAATATCTAATGGACAGAAGCTGATCGACGAAGGCCACGAGGCCACCCCTGAGTTCAAACAGCTTATAGAAGAACTTACCGCGAGATGGCGAGAACTTAAAGGTAGGTTCCATTATCTACGTCCACTATTTTGAGCCTCTTTTTCATTTAAATGTTACTGTCTGTGACACTAGATAGTGCCAACTATCCTTGTCAAATCGATATGTTGAATGTCCATTTCCCAGTAAATTATTTGAAAGTTTTATTTCTTCTGGCACGTTTTGGTTCTTTAACGTAAACAAACCAGTATGCATTCTTATTAAACTGTGACTTTGATCAGATGCCATCGAACAACGCAAGAACAAACTGTCCCAATGGGAGAAGGCCCATCAGTACTTATTCGATGCGAATGAAGCAGAGGCATGGATGAGCGAACAGGAACTGTACATGATGGTGGAAGACCGTGGTAAAGATGAGATATCCGCGCAAAACCTGATGAAGAAACACGAGATATTGGAGCAGGCAGTGGACGATTACGCGCAGACGATCAGGCAATTGGGAGAGACCGTAAGGCAACTTACCAGTGAGGAACATCCTTTGAGGTAATTTTTTAATGAATTTAAGACTTGCCAAATAAATGGGTGGAGACAGACGCCTTAACGTGCCTTCCGAAGCAGGAGGCTGGAAATATACGTAGTAAATTTTTGATTACCCCTCCTATGATCGACCCTTGCGAAAGCTGCTTTACATCTGCTATCTAAACTTGAAAATGGACTACCAAAATCTATTTTTTGTATTAAGCTGATGTGTATGATATTATTATAGATAATGTCGTCAGTATCTAATAGATATTTTATTTTTATTGTCTAAGTATTATTTTCATTTCTTTTTCCTTAAGCATACCATAATAATAAATAAATAATCTTTTGCAGCGAACAAATATCAGTGAAGCAGTCTCAAGTGGACAAGTTGTACGCCGGTCTAAAAGACTTGGCCGGCGAGAGACGCGCCAAGTTGGATGAAGCCCTGCGTCTGTTCCAACTGTCACGGGAAGTCGACGATCTGGAGCAGTGGATAACTGAACGGGAACTGGTGGCGAGCTCACAGGAACTCGGCCAGGATTACGACCACGTCACCGTGAGTTTATTATACCTACTTTAATATAAATCTATGTCTGTTACACTTTCACGTCCAAATCGCTGAACTGAATTTAATGAAATTTGGTACAAGTTAAGTTGACCTTGGGAAAGGGTAAAAACGGGTCCCATTTCCACAGACTTCGTTGTCTGTCTGTCTACGCTAGACTGTACCTTATGAACAGTGATATGTAATTGAAATTGACAAATGACATAAATTGTTCAGATTTAAGATGAATAGCTAAAGCCCCCGTATTATGGAGTATCTGAGACAACAATTGTAACACCACACCCAGACCTGAGACAATATGAAAAATTGATATTCTACATTGACCCGACTGAGAATCGAACCCGGGAACTCAGAGATGGCGACACCTTGAAACCGGCGTGCAACCACTCATCTACAGAGGTCGTCAATATTCACAGATGTTGTATTTCTATTTCTTCTATAACAAATACTATGATAATGTTTTTTTTTTAAATCCTTTTTGGTGTTTCATTCTTTAAAAAATTTTGGTGTATATCTCACGTAATGAAAACATTGCCAGGCTATATTAACTGCAGTCAAATCTTTTATTTACTACACTGAATCTCCCCACTTTGGCATATTTAAAACATTTTTTTTTGTATAGCTCCTCTGGGAAAGATTCAAGGAATTCGCCCGCGAGACACAAGCGGTCGGTTCTGAGCGCGTCGCTACAGCGGAACGTATCGCGGACCAGATGATCGCCAACGGGCATTCTGATAACGCAACCATCGCTCAGTGGAAGGAGGGACTCAAGGAGACCTGGCAGGATCTGCTCGAACTCATCGAGACTAGGACGCAGGTCAGTCTATATCCATCTGTTGGTTAAAACTTTTCTTGTTAATTATTAAGGACTAGGTTTCGAAATCATTTATTGAGTGATTTATATTTTAATAATGTGACATCAATAAGAAAAAAATGGTAAAAAATACAAATTTAGAAAGATTCAACTAACATACATAATGATTTAACATAACATATATAAACTATTTACAAAGACCGTTGGCCAGTGTCCTTTATTAACAATGAACATTTAATAACAAAAAAATCTCATTAGATTTATTTGGTATTGAAATGTATAGCTTCCAATAGTAATGCAATCTAAAAATTGTGTCAAAAGGTGGATATCTTTCGTCTTACTCTAATAGGAGATTACTTGAGGGCAGGCAGTTTAGTTTTTCTTAACTTCCATTTAGTATTACTTATAACCATTTACCATTAAGGTTTAATGACGCTTTTAAGCTCTAATGATTGTTAAATGTGTGTGGATAATGTTGCTTTAAACTAATAAACATTTTAACGGATGTTTGTGCAACAGGCTCTTAGAATGTCTGATACTTTACCAAATGGTCTATATGATATAAGAAAAACAAATGATAAGACACATTCCACGTTTGAATGGTTTGATTGATCCTAGAATTTTCGTTTTGTATGAAAAATCTCAACTTTATATTACGCTATTGATTTTTTATAAAAATTGAGCGTGCGATGTGACAGTGTGTCATTAGCGATTGCACAAGTAACTATGCAATGGCCACCAATATGATTAGTGTCCAAAAATTTACTATCTCGGGCTTTATTACCCGCTGACGAAAGGTAACGCCTCTTAGTCCTGAATGTACATCTGTATCATCGCCAAACCAAACCTCGCGTTTTGGTGGGTTTTTGTCATGCTGTCCTTATAATAGGACAATGATGTCTATGTTGATTAATGTATTTCGTTATTTTAGATGTTGGCCGCATCACGCGAGTTGCATAAATACTTCCACGACTGCAAGGACACTCTTCAGCGTGTTAACGAAAAAGCACGTGGCGTCAGCGACGAGCTCGGCCGCGACGCAATCAGCGTTGGCGCTCTGCAACGGAAACATCACAACTTTATGCAAGATTTGAGCACGCTTCAACAACAGGTGAGTCGACGTTGTGAGAGTTTAATAGTATAAAATAAATAAATATTAGATAATATCACATACATTGCTCAGATTCCAAGGTGAGTAGCTAAAGTCCCGGTATTATGGAGTATCTGAGACAGCGAAGGCACTACAACGTTCAGATCCGAGACAAGAACCCGAGGAATCGAACCCTGCGTCAGTAATCGTAAACACCTACTAATTCGCTAGGTCCGCCTATTCGATTTATTAGGGAATATGCGGCTGATTCAAAAAAGGGGTAAATATATTTTATTACGATCATTATTGCTTTACAATAAAGTCTATGTAAATATTTTTCAACATGAGTTCGTTTTCGTCTTGAAAATAATTATTATAAAATGTGTGAAAATAATGCGGTAACTACAAAATATTCAAACGCCATTACTACTCGTTTGAATAATAATCAATAATTAAAAATCCACATTGATTTAAATGACATATCATATTTATCTATTGTTATGCAGGTGGAAGCTATTACCGCGGAGTGTAGCCGCTTAGGGGCGTCGTACGCGGGCGACAAGGCGGCGGAGATAACTCGTCGCGCGGGCGAAGTGGCGGACGCGTGGGCGGCCTTACAAGCCGCTTGTAAAGCGAGGCGCGCCAAACTGGAGGACGCTGACGACCTCTACCGGTTCCTGAACCAAGTGAGGACGCTCACGCTCTGGATGGACGATGTCGTGCGACAGATGAACACAGGGGAGAAGCCTAGGTGGATACTTATTCTTTTATAGTCGTTTTCACATGTAAAGTACGGTGACGTTTGGAATTTGGATTTTTTTATTGAATTAATTTCTAATAGAGATAATTGATTTTGAAGTTAATGTATAAAACAAAATTAAAGAAAAATATTTATTCATCAACAAGGGGAATCCAAGTCAGAAAAATACAAAATGTTGAAATACAAGTATTTATGTTTTTAAATTTAGAGGGTGGCTATTAAGAATTTAATTGTGTTATAATATGCAAATTGAAATAAATCCTAATATATACATAGTCAAACTATTGTTTATAACAATGGTTTTTAAATATTTGGAAATACAAATTGCGTGAAATGGATTTGCTAACAAAGCCATGCTATGTGAAACAGACTACATTTGTTCTACAAACTCATTTTGTAATTATTTATAATGAATGATAGGAATAATTGGTGCTTATTAGTCTGAATTTCGAAGAAACAAGAAACGGATACTTACTTAGGACTCTTAATTTTTTCCGGGACATCTACCCCAAAATTTGGGACAACACTTTAATACAATCCAATATTCGTTCACGACCGGCTCTTCTAAAGAATAGAACAAAACAAATAAGTAACGCGGCAAACAAATAAATTAATTTAACGTTTCGACAGGGACGTAAGCGGCGTAGAATTGCTCATGAACAACCATCAGTCGCTGAAGGCGGAGATAGACACGCGCGAGGATAACTTCACCGCTTGCATCACACTCGGCAAGGAGTTACTGGCGAGGCAACACTACGCCACCGCTGACATCAAGGATAAGCTGCTGCTGCTCACCAACCAGAGGAACGCGCTGCTGAGGCGGTGGGAGGAGCGCTGGGAGAATCTGCAGCTCAGTAAGTATCCATAATTATTATATTTGATCAATTTTACATTCTGAGTAGCTCGGTGGCATAGTGGATAAGTGCCGCGATCGTTGCCGTTAAGAAACTTTCGCAAGGGTCGGTCACGGGATGGGTGACCAAAAATTATTATCTCGAGCTACTTCGTGCTTCGGAAGGCACGTTAACCCGTTGGTCCCGGCTGCATTTGCAGTCGTTAATTCCGTCCAATCCGCATTGGGCCTCCTTAACCATCCATAAGGAATGCCTGAGCCCCTGCAGTGGGGACGTGAAAGGGCTGGTGATGATGGTGATGACTTCCTATTGCAGATAATATTCATTTTCTTACATATAATATTGTAACAGCATTTTTAATTTTCGTTTAACTCCAAAAATTGGTGAAATTTAGTTATAATTACTATGAGATACGTAGGAGGATACTGTTTAATTAACTTATAATGATGACGATAGACTAACTACTCTCAACCCTATTGCAGTCCTGGAGGTGTACCAGTTCGCTCGTGATGCCGCTGTGGCGGAGGCGTGGCTGATCGCACAGGAACCGTACCTGATGTCACAGGAGTTGGGTCACACCATCGACGAAGTGGAAAGCCTCATCAAGAAACATGAGGCCTTCGAAAAATCTGCCGCCGCCCAGGAAGATAGGTTCAGCGCTCTACAGAGACTTACTACGGTATGTGATCGCTTAGTGCTTGTTTTTTGACTATATTGTACATAAAAGTGAGAGTTCTGATATGTATTAGAATTTTATGTAGATATGTTGTTCTAGATACTTTATGGCTTTACTTGTAACTGTAAGCAATGTATAAGCGTTGCATAGTTACGCCATGTTTTGTCTTTTTCACTCGCTGAAAGCCACTTTATCGGGTGAACAGAGATACGTGTAACTAAATAACGGTTATAAGTTCCCTAATGAGAAACTTACTAATAAGTAAGGGTAGTGGTTATATGCAGTTCGTATATTTAAAGCACTTCGTCAGCTTTACTGATGAATGTCAACTTGTTTCCCTTAACGATATATTTTTCAATTACGGAAGAAAACTATGAATGTAAAAATGTAATATAGAGTATTAACATTAAAACAAGTAAAAGTTCGAAAAAAATCCACATCATTCTTAACGTTAGTTACCATACCGTGTTTCATATTTGAAAAAATAAAACTGTATATATTGAGCTGTACTATAGTAAAATGGGTATGCTTGGCTTGGTGTTGGTTGTAGTTGTAGTACACTTTTAATAACTATCACACAATCACTTACTTATTGCACTATCTTTTGTTTTCTTGCACTTTTTTTCTTGCCTAATGATTTTCTTTTGGTTTTCCCTTTTTACACTAGCTTGAACTTCGTGAAACGACTTTATGGCTTCCCACACAGCCGTGGGATAAGTGTGACGACAACACCTTTACATTTCATCCACCACCTTCACCCATCAATCCTAAACCTGTCGTAGTACAAGTCGAATTTAAAGATTCTAAACCCCCAAGGGACGTCGTATATGAAATAATTATGAACAGCAACAACTACAAAATGCCAAGAAACAAACAGTTTCTCTCGTTAAATTATTCTGATTGTAAGAAAAACGAATCTGCCCTATGGACTCTAGTTAATAACAATAGTTTATCTACCATATCGGAGACTAGTAGCCAGCCTCAATCCTTTATGTCAGAGGCGAGTAGTCCGCCACAATCACCACTACATTCACCTCTTTCCCCTGAGATATATAGTCCAGTTTTCTTTGAATGCACTAATGAGACAGAAAGCTCAAATGACTTCTTAGCGTGTATCAATTTCATACTATGGGAAAGATTGTCTTATTACAATGTGTTTCCAAACGTCTCCTTACTCACTAGAAAAAGCACCAGCTCTTCTAGATCTGGCAGCATAAAAAAGATTGTGAATAAATTGACAAGGAGAAGTAAATCTACGGACAGTGATAGTAAGAGCGAAGTTGCCGTGCTTTCCATGCCAACGCTGACGGGCAGTACTAATACTATAAACGATTTGGGTAAAGATGTTAAGACGATTCCCTTGAATTCCTCCTTGCTTCTACTATCCCAAACCCGATCTCTACTGGGACAGAGTGGTGCATGGTATTTTAACTATTTGGATGGTGTAAGTTTTTGTGTTTTGTTCAGTATAAGCTTTGCATGTTGTGTGTAAATGGAATGTCATCGCTTGTGCTAAATAAATTTTTTGGCCAGTATTGTGATGCAAACACCTAAAATATGGAAGAAAGGAAAGACATTAAACAAACATGAACTTTGATATGATTATATAATTCGTTTTGAATGAATAAACCAATTTTGACTCTGTATTAAACACTAGGTAGATATTAAATAAAGATCTACGTATTTTAATGTCATTAAATTTATAAGTAATAATTAAAAGCTTAATTAAAATAGATTAGTTATAATATAATTCTGGTTTCTGATTTGAATTAATCATTATTTTGTTTTTTCCCTGCTGTCTGTAAATGACTTTTTCCTTTTAATTCATTTTTCATTCAATGTGTTTATAAAAATAGCTAAAGCTTGATGACATTAAATGATTATGAAATTATTTAACTGCAATTTAAATAGCTTGTTATCTTTTTTTTAAATTGATGTATTAAAAATAATGTTTGACTGTATTGAAATAGTTAAAAAGCTTTATTTTATGTCTATATCCTATCGTCGCTTTATGATGCACAACCACGCAATAATAACCTTATTTTAGATTACTGGTAAAATACATAAATGTTGTTATTATATTTGATAAATTTTGCGTTCACAATGCAATACTGGAAAATATTTTTAATGAAATATTCTTGAAAAATTCTCTTTGTCCCTGGTACTCTGAGATGGGATGAGAGCAGTCGCCCGAATTGCGCAAGGTCGTGGCATAGAATCCTATCTCAGATTACCAGAGACAGAGTGGATGTTTTTTTAACCATTTTATAAATATTGTTTATGTCAAATATTACCGCAATACGCTTTGAAGAGTACACGTATGCAGTGAAATGTTTCGTTTTTAACACTCACTCGTGTTACAGTTCGAAGTGAAAGAGATGAAGCGTCGCCAAGAGGCTGCCGAAGCGGCGGAACGCGAACGGCTCGAGCGGGAGGCGGCCGAAGCTGCGGCCGCGGCACAGGATGCGGTCGATCGCGCCGCAGAACCGGAGCCGCAACCGCAGGGTGAGCATGCCGTACAGTATACCCACACCGCAACACAACACGCAATAACATACGTCATGATAATGTGTACGAATTATTTATTAGGGACGCTAGGACTTGCTAGGGTGAAACGGGATAAATCTGCGTTTTTATACCAAGTTTTGTTAATGCGCTGTAGATGTGCGTTTTTTTTATATAAGAAATTGGACTCGAAAGCCTACCGTTACTAATTTAGCTTTGATTTAATTATAATACACCTAATTTTTAATGCTGAGTTTAGGTCGAATTCAATGAAATCACGCAGACTAAGCAGCAAAGTAAGTGGTGTAGAAGAGGACTGTGTATTTTTTTTTTCTAGCGTAAAATAAGGCTAGCCTAAGCAGATTTGTCGAGACCGACGGTATTCTTGATTTCTTTGAGTACTTGTTTTTGTGATTATAGAGCGAACGTGCTATACACATTTACGTGCTTTTTCTGATGGTACTAATTGCGTAGTAGTTGCGTTGACAGTACATCAAAAAAGGTGTTGTGAAGAAAATAAGATTCGTGTTTAAAAAGAACGACAGCGTATACTTTTATCTGATTAAGGCAACTTATAAAAGTAAATGTCGGTCATGTTTTCTATTAAGCGTGTTTGTTCTCGACTGGCTATTAAAAGTTCAAGTTATTAATTGTAAGACAAATAATACTAATTTCACATACGCACAACAATATGATAATTCACTATGTATTACGAGGGTCAAACTGAAAGTTTTTAGAAAATCAAAAACTGATTACATTAGCCAGTTATTAGTTTTATTATATCTTTTCAAAATATTGTCCATTCACGTCAATACACCGCTGCATGCGATGGAACCACTGGGAAAAGCACTTTGCCCACTCGTCCTTAGGGGTCTCTTCAATGGCATCGCGATACGCAGCCACCGCTTCTTCAGCATTCATAAACCGCTTTCCTTTAAGTTTTTCTTTAATTTTTGGAAATAAATAAAAATCACAAGGCGCGAGGTCGGGGCTATACGGCGGGTGACCCAGTAATTCAACGTTTGATGTCGCCAAATAGTCGATCGTTCGCTTGGCGGTGTGCGACGAGGCGTTGTCGTGGTGAAGGAGGATCCTACTGCGAGGTCGTTTCTCTCGAACTTTTTCCAAGACAAGTGGCAAACAATTGGTAGTGTACCATTCTGCAGAAACTGTTTTTTGATCCTCTAACACAATTGTTGCAAAATGACCTATCCTTCCAAAGAACGAGGCCACCATTTTTTTTCCCGCACTTCGATCTCTCTTCACTTTAGTTGGCAACTCCTCGAAAGGAAACACCCACTGAGCAGATTGTCTTTTGGTTTTAGGATCATAACAGTAAATCCAGCTTTCGTCACCTGTTAGTATGTCGAACACAGCATTTGAGTCACCTCCGTTAAATCTTTCAATCATTTTACGACACCAATCCACACGATGGAGTTTTTGAGCCTCAGTCAAATTATGAGGTATCCACCGGGCGCAAAGCTTCCTGACCGCTAAATGTTCGTGGAGGATTTTGTGCACTTGACTCATACCGATGCCTAAGCTTGTCCGAATCTGTTGATAGGTCACACTTTTGTCAGTCTCTATCATACGCCGCACAACACAGATGTTATCTTCAGTCGTCGCCGTAGAAGGCCGTCCCTCACGTAAATCATCAGTGAGATTAGTGCGACCACGTTTAAACTCATTAAACCAGTTGTAAACAGTCGCACGAGATGGGGCTTCATCGTGAAAGGCCAATCGTAGTCTATCATAACTTTCTTGTTGACTTAAATGACATCGAAAGTCATAAAAAATCATTGCACGAAAATTTTCTCGTGTTAAATTCATGATGACGTGACACAGACAATTTTCAATTTGCCGCCAAATCGTAAAACAAATGACAAATGAATAAAATATATACTCAGTAATATTGGCAAAGAGTTATATTTTCAAATTTTAGAATTATTTTTTTATTATATTGTTTATAAGTGGCCAGTTCTAAGAACTTTCAGTTTGACCCTCGTAATAGTACCTATAAGTAAAACAATTATGTAATTTAACCATGATAATAAATAGCATAGATGTTATTTAAAGAAAAAAAAGTTAGGTTAAGTCAAAAACACAGTAATTATTTTATTCTCTAAATTAACCCCACTGCAAATCACAGATTGCAATGTAAGCACGCATGTGTCTGTCTTTCTAGCACTGTCGATGAAATTACTTTCTCAGACGAAAATATCTCCACTAATTTTCACCAATTAACTGGTGAATGCTGCTTGCATACTCGCAATAACACTTAATGTAAGAAACAATAGGATACGACGAATTTTTATTAAAGTTAATATTTAAATTTCTAAGCACGATTCGCACTCCGATAGAGCCTGAAAGGCTTACGGCATAGCTTGCCGCTTTTCGTGTGAATTTTATTACGGTGCCAATTTATTTTACCATCGCTTACTCAGTCGGCCAATGAAAGTCGATTCTTATTGTCTACATCTTAAAGTCTATATTCGAGTGAACTTCATTCGCCGACCGAGTGTGGCGTGTGTGACAAACGATGTCTGTTACTTACCGATCTATTGTCCACACATGCACACGCGTAGTCGTAAGGAGAACATCCACTAAAGCGGCTGAGAAGGCCCAAGAACGACCGCATTCCCAGCCAGGTAAACAGAGCGCTTATTATAAACCTACCATATGTAAAGATACCCGGCTACTAGCATGAGCTTTCACGGTAGTTAACATTTTTATAATATTATGGGTGTCTTCTTAAATTGGTCGGGATACACTGCGCTCGGTACTAGCATAATATATTACACTTTCCAGGGTTAGAATTTGTGAATAATTTCTATAAGTATGTTTTAGTTTTTGTGTAAACACGGATTATGATTTCACACTGTGTTCGTTTTATTAGGCTACTCTGCGTATTAGTATTGAAAACGTTTGCTATAGTTCAATTTGGTTTTTGCACGTTTTCAATGTCTTTTTCTCGATTCACATTTTATTTTTTATTAGGTGATGGTTTATTTTCTGTCTGTCATCATATTAAGTCTATGGTAATAATGTTGTCATTGCGTTTCCAGCTTATAACCGTTCACGTAGAAGCAGTTTCCGAAATAGCTTTAACCTATTATTGTAATCATTTATTCTACTCATTAAACAAACGATATCGAAATTGTATCAGTTTTGAAAAGTATTTTTTAATCAATTCGATTAAAATCATACTGAAAAGAGTAGAATTCGTGTGCTAAGGTTATTGCTATTGCAGAAAAACTCATTATCAACAACACTGCCATCCAAATACTTCACACTACTTTATATTTTCAGCTATGAATATAGTATTCTATCTAATCAATCACGGTGATGGTTTGATACTCTATCTCATTTTGTCATTGATTTATCTTATAATTATCTTTATAAAATTTTCTATATTTCACCTTTTATATACAGTGTATACGTTTTATTATAATTAATAGAAGCATCTTCTGTAAAAAGGTAGGTATCTCGCACATTTCTTATACTGTAAGCTTTTTTAGTGTATTGCTATATTATTATTTTAATCTTTATTAGCACGATATATGAATGCTGTTAATAGCTTTTTTCTTTATGAAATCTTTGAATAGTATATTTTGCTTGCTTTGGTTGGGAATTTTATGTAAAATAGAAAAAAACCTTATGATAATATATAAATAACTATTCGCTTATCATCAACAAAGCTTTCCTCATAAGCCGAGTATGATAAATATAATATCTGTGATAATACTTGTGATATAATGAATATCAATTCAATTAAGACGTCATAAAAACACTAATTTTATTGTTAACATGAGGGACAAAACATTGAAAGTCGTCGTCTTTAAGGCTGGTATAATTAAAGCAGCAATCGTGTGGCATGATCCGTTGTTACAACGAATCCGCATTAATTTATCATACTGTTTTTGTCTGTTTCGTTTTCAAAAATTAGATACCTCATCTTATATTTGCAAATTATTAACAATTTAGCATTTGAATTATTATTTATATGAAATTGAAACGAAATATGCAAAGGCAGTACTGGCATGTAGTGGTATAATAACTTAGCATGTAGCACGTAGTGTGTAGAGTAACTAGCACGTAGTAATACGCATGCAGAGGCTCCCTTCACCCCCGCGGTTGCTACGCCGCCTCCGAAGCCCCCGAAGGCGGTGGCCGCGTCTCCCCTCGAGGCTACGAGCCCTCCCAGTGCTACGACTCCCACAAGTGCCACGACTTCCCCCGCGTCTTCCTCTAAGCAGACTCCGGCTAAACCCGCACGCCTCTCTAGTGAGTATGCACCCTTATGTAGGGCGTGGTATGTATAACCCGAAACATTTTCTTCGGATCTTTGAGCTGTATATTGAAGAGATGTTAACGACATTTGACTAACTATTCTAACAGGAGTTTTATTTTTGAATTACTCCTGTCTATACCTATATTTTATTGAATTTAATTTAATTGTTTTATAAAAGATTTGTATATTGAAATGTTACATAGTTTATTTATAATTTTAACTTATGAATAATAGTATAATTAATTATCATAGTAATAAATTACGAATTGACAAATTTAATATGTATGTATGACAATTACATTTCCTGCATTTGTCTGGCGATTAGTGGTGGTATTTACAGAATTCTATAAGTGAACAATAATTACTAGTAACCGAGTGATGAGAAATAGTTCAAAATACAACTCCTGGCTTGTTAGTTAATCTAATATGTCTAACAACGTGTTTGGTGAGGCAATCATTGGTAGTGTACATTACCAACGTATAATGTAGTGGACTGTTATGTTATGCATGGTACTTCCCTTTTTATTAACGTCTGTGTTTTTGTTATTTACACCCATGTTCAGGGTTCATAAAGAATTTTCTAAACCAACGAGCATGATACATAAGCTTTTGTAATTTGCTGCAACGCAAATTGTTTATTTATGTTGCTTTGATTATTTGTTTTTTTTTTTGTTTTCTCCCCGCCCCGTCCTCTAACGCACTATATCATATTGATTTTTATAATTATATATGTCACATCCTATCCTTGACTCCATCGTAATGTTCACGTATCGTATCTTATATATCTACGGTTTCACTATTATATAAACGTCCAAACCCCCTGCTTTTTTAATATTCGTTGCACGTATCCCTATTCCGTACCATCCGTCCTGATGTCGCGCGTATAGCCCCCGGATCGAGTTCCACGCCGGTGACGCCATCTAGTTCCGGTAAGGTGAAGTCCCGATCGCGCAGCAAGTCGCCATTCCGGAGCTTCAGATGGAAAACTGCGAAGAAACTACTCACAGGCTCGCATCATAGCGACGACGAAGGTAAACATGGTAGTCGATATTTGGACGCGAATAGAAGGTACATAGGGTAAATTGCGTAGTCAGTCCACTGAAAAATCATGAAAGTATTATGAATAATTTCGTGATTGATTATTTGTGAAAAAAAAAAGAAACTCTTAAATACTATTTTCTTACGAAAAAATTATCTCAGCCACGGAGTGTCAACAGTTTGTGACATATTATTTGACATCGAAAATTGCTAATGAAATAAAAATGGGAGTTTTGGTAATATAACAAATTTAAAATGAATCTACTACATCACCTTAATGGTACAAAATTTAATTCTAATTATTGACAGCGGACTACTACTTTGTCAGTTATCCTATGATTTATCATGTCCAACTTGTTTTTAACTCACCGGTACATTCTTCGCTTCTTTAAAGAAGTACCTATAAGATGGGCGTTAAAATAATCTGTTTCTTTTTTACAAAAAGAAAGAATGATTTTTATGGTATAATTCTCGAGTGAAACATAAATATTCTTTCATAAAATTACCAGGCAAATAACCTTCTATTCACCAAATATTTCCTTCTATCATTCAAAGGCGCGATCGGCGCAACACATGTATTTATACGAAATATCATAATTTTTTTAGTGCATTATATGTGTTGATCATCGAATCACTGTGTTTGTGGGAATGTTATAAGCTTCAACCGTTTGTTTGCGCATGCGACACAGATTTGTGTGTGATTTTATTTACAATAAATTGCCGTTTAGATAATATGACTCTTAATTTCTATAATATAAAGATTAGATTACAATGACCACTGTATCAAACCTATCACTTGTGATAAGTTATTAGAATAGATAACTGTTGTTATTTCTGAAATGATGTTAGATTTATTAGTACAAAATTGTTTAGTTGTTATATATAAAAGGTTATTAAATTTAAATGGACGTTTTTTATAAGCCTAAAAAAAATCTTTCGATTTGTTTAAGCTTATTGTTTTCAACTGCAAACGGTTGGCAACAGGGTTCGCAAAAATCCGATATTTGATATTTATCCAATATATATCGGATATATATCATGCATATGAAAACTGAAACTGAGAATTTTGGTCTGTTAGTGGCTTCATTTAATATTTGATCTTTAAAATAATATAAAGTGTAAAATAAAGATTGAGTTTGAGTTATTTATTGATTGTTTATTTGTTATAAAATAATTAAAATGTAGTATGCGTGCGAGGATTGTCGGAACGTATAAGGGAAAGCCCGAAATTTCTAGTAAGTAAGATTGCTACTTCGGCCCAATGTTGCCAGTATCACATCGGGTTGGTTAATTTTCTAACTGAGACTCAATTATTTAACTAACAATAAATATTATTAATATCAATTGATATATATCCGTTGATATTTATTAGCGAACCCTGGTTGGCAATGATAAATAACGTGTTGGTCTTAGATTTGCATTGACAAAACGTTTTGTTAAAGCTAGACATGCGCTGCATATTCGTTTGGTCTTCGGTATTCGGCGTATTCGGCCTCTATTTAACTATTTGTATTTTTGCCGATTATTCGGTTTTGGTGCCTAATATATTCGGTTTGAATATTTCAATTTTCTTGGCTACACAACATGGAAAAGTACTAAAAGACAAATTCTTTTATGTAAGATCTATTTTATATTATAAGTCAATATAACATAAATCTTACATAAAAGAAGAATGTGTTCATTTAATCAATTAAACTTCAAATCGATTTCTTTTTAAAACCTTTTGATAAGCAGTGAAATGGTAGACAGAATAATTCCGCTGAATATACGTAAAAGGTAAACCGTATCATATTCGGTTATTAGGTGAAACCATTATTCGGCGCATCTAATAGTAAAACCAAGTACATTCATACATGTATAAATGTTTTGTTATTGCGATTCTGAGGTTATAAAATTAATTTTTTTCCAGTTAAAGTGGAAATTAAATCACGAATAGGTTTATCGTAAATCTTTAGGTTAACATGTTTCGTATGCACAGAGGGTGCTAGCCCCGCCGGGGAGGATGAAGGCGTTGAGGGTACGTTGGTGCGCAAACATGAGTGGGAGTCTGCTGCCAAACGAGCCTCCAACAGGTAAACAAATATAAATCCTATTCACGTTTCCGTAGGAATTCTATTTCAGTAACAATAAAAAAGAAAGAGATAAATAATGTTTCATTTATCTGTCATATTTGTATTTGGTTATTTTTTGAGCACGAGTGATGGCTCCTTTACATACATCGATAGAGACCGCATGTGGATTGCGAGCGATTGTTTACATTTTTATTGCTCTGTCATTGTTTTACCAATAAAATAAGCTATAACTCATATGAATTAATATGACACAAACATGAGGGCCTATTCTATTTGTTCTCGAAATAAAATTCTGAAAATTTGTGATCGTTCATAAAATTATGTCATAATCATATTCATAAAGACTATTTTTGCACCAGAGGCAATGGCGGGTTCTATATCGGTTGCATGGAGTCGTATTAAGCATTTCGAAATATTTTTTATCTATTTATAAATGAACCGAATAAATAACCTGGTTGACGTTTCAGATCTTGGGACAAGGTGTACGTGGTAGCTAAGGAGGGTCGCATGTCGTTCTACAAAGACCAGAAGTCGTATAAGGCGACTCCGGACCAGCACTGGCGCGGGGAGCCGCCGCTGGACCTCAACGGTGCTGTGGTCGAGGTTGCCGCCAATTATACCAAGAAGAAGCACGTGTTCCGGCTTAGGTAAGAAGAATAGCTCGGTGGCGTAGTGGATAAGCGCCGCGGATTGCTTTCTTTATTATTAAGTAACATTTGCAAGGGTTGACCGAAAAAAAAGAGAATATTATTTCGAGTTCTCATTGTGCCAGTGTGGAGAGTCAAGGCTCACACTCCATAATCATTCATAAGGAAGGCCTGAGCCCTTGCTGGGGAAGTAAAAAGGGCAGATGATGAGATGACGTCATAACTTAAACTGTAAAATGCAACTGCATAAGTTTCGCTGGTTAAAGTTATTGTATGACTATGATAAGAAAGAGGATGGCGCAACGCATTCCCAAGTCAATGTTAAAGTCGGCGTCATATATATCTTCAAACCTTAGCTTTAACTGCGATTAAAGTGCAATCCATATAGTATACGTTTAAATATACTTATATTATAATGTGTATATATTTATTTATTACAATTTGTATAACGTGCACGTGAGTTCGATGGCGTAGTGGATAAGCGCCGCGGCCCGCGATCGTAGTCGTTAAGCAACTTTCGCAAGGGTCGGTCACGGGATGGGTGACCAAAAATTATTATCTCAAGCTACTCCGTGCTTCGGAAGGCACGTTAAGCCGTTGGTCCCGGCTGCATTTGCAGTCGTTAATACCTTCCAATCTGCATTAGGCCAGCGTGGAGGGTCACGGCCCATTCTCCTAAACCATCCATAAGGAAGGCCTGAGCCCCTGCAGTGGGGACGTAAAAGGGCTGATGACGATGAATTTTACATTTATAATGCTGAGAAGAAGTTGCCGTAGTAGTAAAAATTTCAATTATAATTATATAAATTATCAAAATGTCAATGCCAATGAAAATGTTACATTATAGTATTATATCCTTTTTGTCTTTATTTTTCTTGTATGTTCACTGAACAAATAAGTGTCTTACTTTCGTTATAATATTTATTTATTACAATTTGTGTAACGTGTACATGGTTAAATGTATCGATTTGTTATGCTGTGACTCGGTTGAACAGGTTGAGTAGCGCAATAGTGATGATGACTAATTTTTGTTTGTTTGTTTGTCCATCAGGTAGAGTGTTAAAAAATATTAAACACGTATTTTTTAATTTTTTCCGTAATCATATAATTAATGCGTTACATTGGTTTGAAATTTCGCATGACGTCACATTATGGTACGTTTTCTATTAAACTGTGACGTAGCGAGCCGCCACTCCTCAACTTTAATGCCTGTTATCTAAGCTATTTCTTGTTAAATTGAAGTATAAAAAGATACGTATCTAATATTTTTCTATTATCTGACTGACGGACTAAATAGAATTGCATTTTTTTTTACCCAGTCATCATCCCTATTTGTATACCGCAGGGCTTCCCTAACTGTGCGTCGCGACGCCCTGGGGCGTCGTGGCAATGGCCCAGGGGCGTCGCGTGTTGATATATCGATGCGACTAAGTCAAGTGATCGCCGCATGCATACTGTCAACGCGACGCGAACGCGGACATATGTGACATATTTAACAAATTAAATGATCTTAATAAGTGTTTGCAGGGAAACAATACTCACATCCTGCAATTGGCAGATAAAATTACTGGGTTTCAGAAGAAGTTATACTTATGGAAGAGAAAATTAGAAGATCAAGTAATTGACTGTTCTCCTGCTTTACAAAGTATTCTACTAGAATAATCGATAAAAATCCTGGATCCTTCCTTAAAAATAATATTTACACAGCACTTGCTCTCACTAAGCGAACTCTGAAAAATATTTTTTCCATAATTTGGAGCAATACGACTGGGCTTACTTAACTGGAGCCCCGTTTTAAGAAACTATGCTCAGAAAAGCAAGCACATCCATCTTATTAGAGCCAGCCAGTTGGTTACATCTCTTTTTTTATGCTTATGACTTATGATTTGAATTTGTTTTCATTTATTAAAAAATATAAAAGTCGAATTCGTGTCTTCCTGATAACCTGTTACTAGGTTAGTACATACAAAAACTGGTTAGTATTTTTGGGGACTGCGTTGAAGGGCGTCGTAGAAAATGGCAAAGACCCAAGGGAGTCACAGTACAAAAAAGTTTGGGAAGCCCTGGTATACCGTGTACAGTGTCGATGCATTGATGTGTTTTGTGTGCGACAACAGGTTGGGTAGCGGCGCGGAGTTCCTGCTGCAGGCGCACGACGACACGGAGATGCAGTGGTGGCTGGAGGGGCTGCGCGCGCGCACCGCCGCGCCCGCCGCGCGCTCGCACACGCTGCCCGCGCCCGCCAACAGCGAGCCCAAGCGCAGATCCTTCTTCACGCTCAAGAAGAAGTCAGTCGCGTCACCGTTCGCATACCTATACTCACCGTAACCGCATGCCGGAACCGTGGCCTTGGCTAATTTTATTTTAGTTATATATCGCTGAGAATGATGGTGACGCAATGCAGAAAGATTTTCACAAATTACAATATCTTGAACTTTAAACGCTAAGTTCAAGATATTGTAACATCAATACGTCTAGCAGTTTATGCAAACGACGTTCAAAATCTTTGCGTTTTAAAGTTTATATGTAACAAAGAAAAAGATACATCGTTTTTGGTTAGTGACAGTGTCATTCTCAACGTGCGAATTATAATTAATCACAAGATATTAACAAAAAGAAAAAAATCTTACAGTTTCTTATATTAAACATAAATACATTTAGGCTTAAAATTTATCAGAGACAGAAAATTGGTAACATTATAATACAACCACAAAAGGCGCGAAGATTTCAAAATTAGTTATCTCACATTCAGAATCTTCAGCGTACCTCTTGTTAGAACGAAATAAACATACTTCCATAACTTTGAGTGGCAACTGCTGCATCCTCATAGAACACGATCCACGAAAAAATGGCTGCGTTCAATGACATTTTATTATTTTTATTAAAATAAAAATAGTATGTATAGTACTTACGCATGAAATATTATCTTTTTTGCTTTCATCGTTTTCAATATGTGCATTGTCTAAACACGAATAAAGGCATAGAAAATGACATTAGCCACAACGCTTGCTGAAACATAACCAAAGTGAATCTCGGGCAATAGCCTTCCTTTTTTATTGTCAACGTTGTGCGCAGATAACCCATCTAAACTTTTTAATACATCATTGATCCTAACCACATCTTATAGTTTTTAACTACCTACTTGATTATCTACGATAACTAAATCACTAATCAGTGAAAGTATAGTAGGAAGTAACTATGTTGCACGAATTTACATCAAATGAATTCGTTTGGTTCCTTCACATATAATATTTTTTATAATATGCATGTTAATATGTTATGTTGCTTATTTAGCATGATATTAATAAGGCATATTTTGTTCTCGTAGATATCTATTAATTATATTAGGGCCACTTCATACTGGCGCTGATCGAAGCGTTGATCTGAAAATTAATATAGCACTAAGTCTGATTTTGGTTCTTACAAATAAAGGCATAAGGGCGTAATCAGCGCGAATTAACGCGCGTTTTAGTTCACTAAATTGCAACGAATTATGCTTATTTTAGTATGGACAATTACTGAGAAATTATTCGAACTTATATAATATGCAAAGTTATAATAAAAAGTTATAATTATATATTAATTGTTGCGTTTTGTCCACAGCTAAGCACTATTAGCTGGAACGTACTCACCGGCGGATGATAATATTTCTCACGACGCTTGCCGCTGTAAGCTTTGCTTATGAAGAAATCACTGGCGGCATCCCCATCGACTGTCGTACATTATTAAACGTTATACATTATTATTTTGTTGCGTACAAATACGTTATTTAAGACTGTATGGTAAATGAGTGTTCGATTCGCCTGTATTTATTGGCCGGCCCCGAAACCGGCCAGCGTATAGATATATCGACCGAGTATGTATGATCCCACCCCCCTATCAGAAAGTGTATAATTGTTGTAATATGAAAAAAATACGGTTATTATTATTATTATAAATAAAGAAAGAATAACATTAATGAGAAAAAGTTTAAATGCGACGCTATTTATGAATAGATGATTTTTAAGTGTTTTTAAATTCAGATTGAGAATATTAAATATATATATAAATTTAATTATTTATACATACATATTATAAAATTTACCTAGTGTAAAATAAAATTCATCAATTAGAAATATGTCATTCGATTCAGCTATTGATTAAAATATCTTGAAGTTTTTCATTAGGTACTTACTGACCAATCAAATTATATCATTCGACGGAATTAAATTATCGCATCTGATATATGTATTCGTGTAAGCTAAAATAAGAGTACGCATTTACATTACAATAGTCGGCCCAGTGTTCGATGTTTTTATAAATGGACGGCTTTGCTATAACGAAGTAATACTGTAACGTTCACACACACGACATAACGTAAGCTACGTAATCGTATTAGTGTTAATTTATTACCATTATTAAAGTGTCTTCTTCCGACGTGCCGGTGTCGCCGTTATGACGTCATCATCGCGTTTTAATTATTCGGAATTCTCTTATTAGATTGTAATTGTATGGACGAGTAGGTCATTAGCCTTGATAAATGGTGCGGTGATGCACGAACGGTGACACCGGAACGATTTATTTAAGTAAAGTCGAAGTTGTAAGTATGCTTGATCGCCTCGTAAGTGCTTCTACAAATAATATGTCTATTTTAAATATATATTCTTTTTTTTTAATTAATTTAAAATTATTTTTACTGCCAATACTTCACAAAGTGTTTAAATGTCTCTAAGCGACTCTGAATTCACATGTTTTAATATTATGAACACATATGTTTTAGTTTTTGTTATGATTGACGAAGGTGATGTGTGACGACGTGGTGTTATTATACTGCCTTGAGTGAGATGTCGCTTTGCACAGTTGCGGGCAATGGAAAATGTACACTTTAGTAATATGTCGATTTATCCAATTGATATTTTTATCACTTTTTAAAGATCTATAAGTGATATAGCTTAGTGTTGTACGTTTTTAGTTGCTCGTAGCTGTGTTGCCACTTTGTTTCACACGGTTGCATGTAAACCTATATTTAAATATTTTATTTTTAAATTTTACTTTTTTTGATGAAAATATAATAAAGATGTTTTCAATTAAATCGTTTTGTTTTTGTATTTATTATTTTTAGTTACAAAAAAATGAAAACCCACGAGCGTGTTATGTTGCTCAAAATAATAGGCTCGTCGGGGGTGTATCAGCAGTTAACAATGAATATCCTTAGGAGCCGTCCATTAATCACTAGATGTTTTTTCAATATTTTTAACCCCCTCTCCCCCTCGATGATACATGGTTTGGTTTAAGACTACCCCTTCTCCACCCATTTCACGTGTATTTTTCAAAAAATCTTGTGTTACAAAAAATCTTACTTTGTGACGTCGGTTTTCAGTTTAGTAATCGCGTGTTTGTGGAAAAAAACAAATACACGTGATATATTACTACACCCCCCCCCCCACATATTGTGGTATTCAGATTTTTTTTACTTTTTATGTCTCTTAATCATAATAAATTTTTATAACGGCGCGCCTTTGCTATGCATTGAATCAAAACAAATCTAATGGGGGGAATGGGCCATGACCACAGTGACACCACTCGGGGCCCAGTGTGGATTGGCGGGTATAACAGACTGCATATGTAGCCGGGACCAACGGCTTAACGTGCCTTCCGAAGGACGGTGTTCTGGTGTAATATGTTGTAGTTCCACCGCAATTTACTAAATTCACTCAAGTGACTCGACGTGGCAGAGACAATTTACATCTATAGAATGATTTTGCAATACTTAATTAACATTATAATATTTTACAAGTTTAAGTCTCATTTTGTAACAAATGGACGAATAAACAAGATAATGGAAAGTATCATCTTTAATTATCATCATCAAAATAATTATATTTTGATCACCCATCTTACGTCCGGCTAAAACTGCGCTATCGAGTTTCACAAAAATTGAATTCATGTAATTTTTCTCTATAGAAAAATCTAAATTCAGCAAACGCAACCTTTTCCATTTCTTATTGTAAGTAATTATAACCTTTTATATTAGTGAAAATTGATAAAAAGGTGAATCTGTAGCCTAGGGAATTGTGCAGTTTTAACAACACTTAATAGATTGCGACAAAATTATTAAAACCAGCCTAGGTCCTTGTCTATCTCATTGGCGGGCACAAAAAGTTATACGTTTTAGTGCAAATTTTAAAACGTAAATAAAATCTTGTTAAAGTGTAAACTTTAAAAGATGATTTTGTCAGCATGTGTGTGAATCTATATAAACATTAAGATATTATATAGCATTAAAACTTCATACAAAGTGAAATCAGTGTAACTGAATATAAACTAAAGTAGCTAATTTCTTATGCACTTAATTATAATTAAGCTCCATACCCCCGGTTTCTACATGGTGATTTTAAAGTTACGAACAAACTGTACTTAACCGTCACTTCAACATATTTTCACCTCTGATTTTAGTAATTTGTTGATCAGTTGATAGCAGATTGATAAAAACTTTGAGTTTTGCACTTGTGAAACGTAAAAACTTAAGTCGTTGAAAATGATAAGTTGAAATTTTGTATTTTTCACAATCCAGAAACCGGTTGATAGGCGTATTATTATAATCAGTATTCAATTAACCTAAACCCCAATGACATGAAATTTTATAAAACAGTAATATTTCTATAGGTTTTGTATAAACAAATAACGTCCAAAAATAAAATAATCACTGGAATGATATTAAATATATCGTAACGAAATAATAATAACATTTTAATTAATTAAAACGTAGTTAACGAGCGAGTCCAGTAGTAGAACTGCCTAATATTAAAGATCTATTTAATTTAAATTAAATATTAAACAACATCACGTACATTGCTCAGATCAGGGCTCGGAAACGTTATTCAAAATAACGTTTTTAAAACGATTCTTATGGTTCTTTGGGCAAGATTGCGTTCGAAACGAAAACGAAATGAGAATGCTTTAAAAAACCGGTTTAATCCGCAAGACGGTGCCGCGCGGGCTGTAAGGGCGGCGTACATTTATTTTATTACGTTATTTACAGTATGCGATGCAAAAAAACGCAAAATAAATGGTTAAAAACGTTTTATTAACCGAAAACAATATAATTCTGTTTTTTTCCAAAATCGTTTTTTATATCGTTCTGTTCGAACGAAACCGAAACAAAGTGTTTTTTAGGTATTTAAGATGAAAACGTTTCGAAAAATATACCGGCTTCCGACCCCTGGCTCAGATTCCAAGATGAGTAGCTAAAGCCCACGTAATATCGACTATCTCAGAAAAACCTAGGTACCACAACACCCAGACTCGAGACAATATAGTAAAGTTCATTTTCTACATTGACCTCAGAGATGGCGACACCTAGAAACCGGCTTGCGAACCACACGGATACGGAGGTCGTCGATATAGTATTTCGTTTCATTATATTACTTTGACATGTTTAAATGAAAATGTTACGTGATGGTTTTTCCCTACGTGATCGATAAGAAACGAGGATATCCGTAGGAGAACTAACGTAACCGACATTGCTCGAAGGATTGCACAGCTGAAGTGGCAGTGGACGGGACACATAGCGAGAAGAACTGATGGCCGTTGGGGCTGAAAATTCTCAAATGGCGACCACGTACCACGTGTCGTACGCTTAGTGGGTAGGCCCCCAACCAGGTGGACCGACGATACGAGCAGCGCAGGACCGATCGTCGTGGAGACCCATGAGGGAGCCTATGCCCAGAAGTAGATATCGAACGGCTTATATGACGATGATGATATATGAAAAAAAAACTTAATAATGAAGAACTAATGATACAGAAAGATACGAGAAGGCAGTAGTGTTTCCAACTTAGTAAGTAATTTATCCAAAATCTATCCACCAAGAAACATATTTTAATAAATATAGATACAATATCTTTTTCAGGACGATTCTTGTTGATCCTTAGAAACTTATTTCATCTTTACCTTTTTATTTTTGTCCTCCATAGGTTGCCTGGAAGAGATTGCTGCTTAGCAATAAAGTCGCCTTTTGTATACTTTTTCGTTTTATGATTCTCTGTAACTTGTTTTTGTTTTTTGTTCTGTTGTGTGCAAATAAATATATTATTATTATTTTTTAATAGAAGTGCATGTTTGTAACTCTGCTTCACTGAGTTTTCATACAAAGTTGTGTCTTGTAGGCTTGAATTTGGTGGCCTATGTTATAATTATATGTAATCAATAAACAAAGATAATTGCTAATTAACCTCAGTCAGCAGTAGCTAATCAATTTCTTAACTGATAATATTGATAACGCCAATTATAAAATTGGATTTTTAAGTTTGTGCCATGCAAATAAGTGAAACCTAAAAATGCGTTTGATTGCGTTGGTAGTACTTGTGGTTGCGGCTTCTGCCGGTGCTTATGTGGGAGTTCCCGATCCTAGAGGCTACCACGAGGCTGTAGGTATACCTCTCGCGCGGAAGATCAAAGCCCATGAGGATGCAATTCAAATCCAAAACAGGATCGTTGGTGGTGTATCCGCCCCTCCCAATGAACATCCGTATTTGGTAAGTATCGTGAAAATCTAAGAATTCTTTAATTTGTGGTGAACGGAGTAGTACATAACAGTATAGCAAATAATTGAAAACTGAAAAATTTACCTTAAAATGTCACTATTTATGTCTAAACAGATATGTTTTTGTCATTTTTCTACCTTCGTACTTCTCGGTGTACATTACTACAATTAATAAGGAAATGCATGTTGTATTGCCTAGACTATGAAATAGATTATTGGTCTAGTTAAAGCAAGCTAGATGACTGTTTTAAACGGTTTCTAAATTGAGAAAAGTATCTACAATATCTCAACTGATTATTCTCCTATTGATTTCTTATATTTTCACGCGCATTATCCATTAATGAAACAAATATAAAATTAAATACATCGCATTTGTATTTAGTTTTAATGACGTTTCGGATCGTGAGGCTATTGAAATTAAAAAACATCCGAATTTTAATAGAGATGAAGGTTGGCATATACCACCGGCTTAGGATTCAATAATTACTCAAATAAATTCCAAAAGATACAGTTAGTTCATTCTGCAAATATTAAATCAAAGGGATTTTTCTTGTCGGACTTTATTTCGTCAGTTCTTCTCAGACAAGACTCCTAAAGTTGGAACTGGTGATAGATTACGGTAGCCAGGGATAAATAAATAAGTCAACGAATTTTTAAATAATTTTATTAAATAAATCGAAACGTTGCCATTACATTTCTTTTTTGGTATTGTGAATGTGTCCAATAGTTTTTGAAGGTAGTTATACTTTTAATTATTAACACAATCAACAACAGAAACTGGGTGTAAAGCTGTAACAGGCTGCCTTTTATTTATGTAATAATATCGATAACAAATTCAATTAATTAGTAATGCAAAACAAAAACATTGAATATTCAAAAGAAACCTTCAACTCAAAGATTTTAAATCTATCTCCACTGATATCTGGATTTTTATTTATTCTTTATTCTCTCTTTCCTAATAGGCTGGTCTTATAATTAACTTCTGGAACATCGCTGGACAATCCGTGTGCGGCTCATCACTGTTGTCTTCCAATCGGTTGGTGACAGCAGCCCATTGTTGGTTCGACGGCAAAAACCAAGGATCGCAATTTACAGTCGTGTTGGGCACGAATTTACTTTTCCAAGGAGGACTGCGTATACCTACCTCACATGTAATAATGCACCCACAATGGGCACCAGCGACATTAGCCAATGATGTAGCCATGATTTACTTACCATTCCCAGTTCAATTTACCAGTGAGTATTATAAAGCCATGGTAGTAGCTATGTTATAACCTTGTTTTAGTTGTAACGTGTATTTAGTTATTATAAATTTAAGATTGCAATTGGACTTCTCTGTAATACGGGAACAAAAAGTTTCTTGCCGGTTCTTATAAGGAAGATTGACGTACTGATGACAAAGCTTTCGACTTACACTAGTGTTTATTACAAAATAAATTAGGTAAAAAATATCTGCAGATTGAGCCAAAGATAATGGATAATGATAGTAGATCTATAAAACTATTCCAAATCTAACACGTTATCTGAAACAATATGGCTACTTATAAATTTTTCTTTTTTGGTAATTATTAATAAGTATTAATAGAGTGTTTCTTTTACTTTATAGCTGGTACCTCATTAGTTTCACGCAAAGCTAAATCGCGGTCGAACTGCATGCTTAGAGAACGCCTACAGAATATTCCATATTTTTATATCACACTAGCTTTCGCCAGCGGCTTCCCCCATGTGGTCCTTATGAAAAGTTTTAGTGGGATAAAAACTATCCTATTATCTAAGTCAGCTAATACCCTATCTGCATACCAAATTTCATCAAAATCCGTTCAGTAGTTTCGGCTCATTGACGGACAAACATCCAAAAAAAGACTTTTTCACATTTTTTATATTAATAGGATTACTTTATTGACTTTCAATAAGAATTATTGGTTGATACCTGATAATAGGCTTAGATTAAAAATACGAAATCTTAGTTGATAAAGTTATAAGCGCTGATTTATAAAGGCTGGGTTTTATTACCAGTAAATTTAGAAAGATAACTAATAAAAATGCTTTATATTTTATCAATCTAATAATATATTTCAGGGATTAAAAATCGTGATTTGCTTATTTGATAAATTGGAAAAGCAATTAAATTAGTAACGATTAAAATTTTATGGACGGTTCTGAGTTACTGAGTTAAGTAGTTAAACTATTGTAGTTATCTAAAAACTTCGAGGAAAATTGTTAAATTTCTAGTACATATAAAAGAAATATATACTTTACTTATTTCAACAAAATATTGAAAATCTATAAAGCTCTCAATGCGAATTCGTTCCAGCGAGATTAATTGAAAATATTCCCTCAGAATCCTAATTGACAATGGTTACTTAAGGTTACATTTAATAAGTGATATTGAAATATGTTTTAGGGTAATATTTAATAAATTATAGGGTTGAACTACATCTAGCAGCATGGTATTCCTTTTTTTCATTGTTCAGAACCACTCTTTCCTAAACAGAGAAAGACAGCGTGTTGCCCATTGCCTCGACTATTTCAGTCTGCTTACGCCACAAAATTGTGTTATCACACTCTCACTGTGACTGTGACTCTCACGTTGTGAGTTACAGAAAAATTAAAACGCAATACCACAGGGCAATATCGTGCTGCCTTACGTCCAAACATTTATATACTGATTTTTTATTATATAGATAATTTAAATTTCAGCAACCGTCCAGCCAATTTCGTTGCCCAACTGGCAGGAGTTGGGTGATCTCTTCGTGGGTAACTGGGCAACTGCTGCAGGTTATGGTTTCACAAATGACCGTAAGTATTCCGTACTTATTTTAGCGCGTGTTCAGTGTCGTAGCGTGAACTAATCTAGACGTTGGCGAAACATGAGAGAGGTCCCATTCTTTTCCAAAAATTCCAATTAAATCTATTTTATGATGAAGAAATAAACTTTTTGCATTGTTTGTGTCGTATTTCGTCGATCGAAAATAGTCCCTGCAAGATCCCTTTTATTGCGAGACCTTTTTGTGACTTTGGACGCATTCGCATCAGCCACGTCTACTAACGCCACTTATTATTCCTCGTGTTGTTGTGTAATAGTTTGTTCATTTGGTTTGATATACGATTTCAGAGCAAACTGGCGTGACTCTTGCGCAGAGTGTGAGCCATGTGAATCTGCAGGTGATCACCGAGGTGCAATGTCGCGCTGTATTCGGTCCTACGTTCATTCTACCCAGCACACTGTGTACGAACGGAGCGGGTGGTGTGGGCGTATGCCGCGGCGACTCTGGTGGACCACTCTTCGTCAACAGGAGCGGACGCAGAGTTTTGGTACAACTGCCTATATTGTATACTTATTAAGATTTACACAGCATTGAGCTTAGGTACGAAATACCCACTTAAGCAAATGTGCAAACTCAGGAATGGTAGTATTGAAAAACATCAAGTGAATGCCACCTTATGTATAATTTACTTCTGGGTGAGCGACGAGGTGACATTGTACCCAACGTTAAATTAACCAACAAAATTAAAAAGAGAAAATCTTGCATCAGCATTTATTAATTTTTATTTAAGTATTACGATAATATCTAAAATTATAAATAAAATAAAAAATTATTTGCAGATTGGCATCAGTTCCTTCGTGGCAGATATAGGGTGCCAGCTCGGCTTCCCATCTGCATTTGCACGAGTAACCAGCTTCTACTCCTTCATTATGCAGCACATGTCATGAATTCTGCCAACAACAGCAGGAAACTCTCAGTGATAAACTACTGCCATAAAATAAACGTTTTCTATTTACAATGCTTAATTTATTTACCCTTTTATTGGAAAAAAAAGATCTAATAACAAAAATCAGCGCAAACGTAAATAGTTTCTTTTGTTTTTAAAAAATACTACCTGAAAACAATGTACGAGGAATAAGAAAAACAAAAATTAAGAATTTAAGCATTCTTCTTATTCCATTCGATTCAATTCCTTCCATAGGGAATGCGTGCGCTCCAGTAGGAGAACATTAATAATCTGGTAATGATGATTTACGAATAATATTTGTAAAATGAAAAAGCTGCTTCCCTTACTTTCGATAATCATAAAAATCATATATGTAGCCGAAACAATTTTCAGAATAGCCTTCGATATTGTATTCATCGGTACTTTCTTTCGAATCTGAAGGAATTAACAATAAATTCAAAAAATAGTTTTATATTAGACATGTATTGTATACTTATCAAATGACTAGCTTTTGCCCGCGACTTCGTCCGCGTGGTAAAGTTACTTTGAGCACCATTTCTAACGAATATTTATTAATTATATCGTATAAAATACCTGAAATAAATTTCATCCCCTATTTTATCCCCTTAGGGGTAGAATTTATGAAAATCCTTTCTTAGGGGATGCCTACGTCATAGTAGCTTAATGCATGCCAAATTTCTGCGTTCTCTTTGGGTTGTGCGTTGGTAGATCACTATGTCAGTCAGTCACCTTTGTGTTATATATATTTATAGAAGATTCTCGGTCATTATTATCTTATGGAGGAATAAAAGTGCCACAAGGTTCAAATTTGGGACCAGTATTACTAAATTTTAATATTATTTTAACCTATATCAATTTATTCTAGATATCCAGACTCAGATTCATAATTTCACTGGTCAACTTTTCTTTTTTTGCGTTTGTATTTATAATAAGGATATTTATCATGCCTGTGGTCCGTATTAGCATTTAATCTTATCTGACTTATTATTGCTAAATATATGAATGCCGTAGGATGTGGGTTTTTTAAGTTATTATAAATAAAGCATTAATTTAAGTGACGAGGAACAGTCGAAAATTATTATAACTTTCATTTAAATTTACAATTCCATATCATGCTTGATGGATCATAGAATAGTCGTATCGTTTCCGTAGTGTAATTTAGTGAAAGATTTGATAACTAGATCTAGATATTGATATCGCTATCAGTGATTATTTTTTCAGCAGGTATCTACATAACAAAAATTACGAGAAATGGCATTATGCGACAAATCGACAATATTTCTGATAAATAGGTTGGGTTTTATTAATTAATAACTTAAAAGTATCTGCGTCGACACCGATAATAAAACAGAATAACAAATCTGTTGTTTCTATGGTATTTCTCTTTAGGCTGTTAGATCTTTAAATTATTATGGTCTCTGATGGACCGTGTATTCAAGTCAAAGTCAATTTCCGTTTTATTCAAATTGGTATTAGTTAAAGTTTTTGCTGCATATTGCGTTTATACCTACATATCTACTACTATTTTCTTAGTGCCCTACCCTTTGTGGAATCAAGAGACTACCGTCCCTATTGAGCAACTAACTATCGCATATCTTTCTTCCTCGTCAGAGAGTTTGTACATAACATTAAATCAGTCGATTTAAGATTATTATTTTGCTGAATATCTTTAGTAAGTAGTTTTTTACGCGCGCAAATGCTTAAATCTGCATTGGATTTAAGCATTTGTGCGCGTAAGAAAAACCTATAAGTATTTTTTCTATGAATTTTAATTACTTTTTGATGATGTAACTTATCAATATAAGTTTTTTTTAGCTTAGTTAATTATAATAATGACATATAAAGATTGAGTGAATCTTTATACGATTAGTATTTAATCTTGATAAACATTATTGATGATTGGTAACTAAGTATTATCTTTTACGTTTTAAAGAACGAATGAGGTTTTAGGGAAGTAAAAGTTGGAATAATTGCCCGGAACAGTTGAAATCTAGATATTTTTACAGTTCAATGAAAACAGAAAACAATACAGTTTTAAATAAAAAAAAAGAGTTTTAATAATAACAAAATTACAAAATGCATGGTAATTGAGATGCGATGTGAAATACATAGGTATTTAAATTTAATCATTCAGAGTCCGAGGTAACTTTTGGGAGGATCTAGTCGAGCACTATGCCTGTAATTTCGCTGATCCAGTCCAAATATCTCTGTACCCTGGTGAACACTGATGGTAATTCTGTGTTACAGCCGCTCTCGTCCACAAATGATGTGACTCCCACCTAGAATTGTTCAAATATTTATATTACAGAAAAATGCTTAAAGAATTTGACAGTCTAAGCTTCCACGGGATTCAAATCCATAATCTTTCGCAATGTAAAAGATTAACTATCGAGTTACCCGAGACATGAAATTTCTTCAGCGAGACTGAAGTTTCTTAAGTATTTGTTAACGATTATTTATATTTCCTTAGAAGGGGGATGGGAGGCATAAAATAGAATTATACAAAACTTATCTTAAACGACGCCCCCTATCATCTAAGACTTATCTATTCTAATATTATAAAGCTGAAGAGTTTGTTTGTTTCTTTGAACGCGCTAATCTCAGGAACTACTAGTTCGAATTGAAAAATACTTTTTGTGTTGAATAGACCATTTATCGAGGAAAGCTTCAGGCTATATAACATCACACTACAACTATTAGGAGCGAAGAAATAATGCAAAACGCGGATGAAGTCGCTGGCGGCCACTAGTATTCTATAAAATATTAAAAGACTGTATATAACGTTTTAAAACCCATCTTTTTACAGAATCGCAAGGTAGGTCCCCATTTTTACCGCATCTGGCAAATTCCCCAATTGCCTCCTTAGACCTCTGTCCATGGGCATCAAATTCGCACCATTGACGAAAATTAAGACATAAATACCTAGTCATCGGCAAGTATACTGTTACGTGATACTATATAGAGATGGCGTAATGTGCCAATGAGTAGCGCTAACATTGTTGAAATTATCTGTTTTATCGGGTCGGAAGAAGAGTCACTAGGCAAGAAGGGACTGTTCTAGAATCCTATGGTAACGACTTAGTTGGAATGGAATGTTCTAGGTCCTAACTTAAAATATTCTAAGTTTGATTATTGGATTATTTTTGTAATTTTATAGTGTTAAATAAAGTCTAATTGTGAACTACAAATTGGCGTCAATTTTTCCATGTCCATGTACCATGGAATTCATCAGAAACACAAAACTAAACATTATTATAACCAGCTAAACGAGTGTAGTTCGTGTTAATATTTTTGACACTCACCAAGATAGTCTCTTCTGTAGCGGTCAAGAATATTGTCATTGGTCCACCATTGTCACCCTGAAAGATAGAAATTTTTAGATAAGTTTTTAGGAATATCTAATTCGAGCCTGTGCAGTTACTTCGGAGCGTATTCATTTCAAATAAATAAACAATTCAATCTCTTAATATTAGTTGTCTAGTTTTGTTTTTATTTCAGGGAAGATGTCTAGTGTAATAAATTTTATAGGTTGAAATTTTTGATTTATTTACAGAGGGCTCGGTCAGTCCATAAAGGCAATTTGGGTAGCCGCTCGTAATTGGGGAGCAACACACCATGGCAAACAAATAGTGTCCTCTAATTCTTGGAAGCTTAAATATACCTCAAAAAACTGACTTTTGTTCTTTGAACATGAGTCCAAGTCCACGTAAAGGATATTATACTGTTAAAGAATATCTAAATGACAAAAGGGCATGGTGTTAGATATTTTAACCTAATGTGATTATCATTGTACCTATGTATAAGATGCCGTGGCCTGCAACTATTTATAGCTTCCTTAATTCACTGCATAAATTAAGTACTCTTAAAATTCTCTGAGGTGGTGTCGTTTGCGTCGGGTCGTTACGTTCCCTAAAATATAGTTGAGTGAAGCGATGGCTGGCTCACGTGTCATGCTCGTGAACGGGTGCTGCCAGTGGGAATGAGTCTGCTGTGGGCTACTTAATTTCGTCTATATTCTTTTATTCTGAATACTGTATATTGACTTATTAATAAGTATGTATGATTCGGCAACCTACATATTAATCACTAGTCGAAAATATCTGTCTTGTTATTTCTGATAATGTAATGGAAAGTAACATCATAGTTTAATGAAGTCACTTTCCAATAAGACTGTTTTGTGTGAAATAAAGCAGGGAGAAAAACTTGCTCAGTTTCTTGCCGGTTCTTCTCAGTACAAGGTATCCCGCCGTAGTTTTGCGAACCGATGGCGTAGTTTTCGAAATGCTATGTATAAGCCTCGACTGACTAAAAGATTTGATTTGATGTCCGCGGTATTTAAAAGTACAAAATTTTCGAGCCATCTGTACTTAAGGAGTTAATGCGCGGTGTTCCAGTGTTTTGACGAGGGCGCCAAATTACCTTGCAAGTGCCAGCACCATTTGTGCTTAAACCACAAATCACGTTCGGCGACAGTGAATTCTGGTAGAGGTTGTTACAATGCGTGTTGGTTATCACAGACATGAAGTACTCTCTTAGGGTCGGAGACACAAATGTAACCCCTGAAATAAAGATTTGTGTTATGTTATAGTTTTTACCGTAAAAAAACTATCATTCCTCCCATACATGTTTTAGAATATTTAGTAATTAATAAAATACGACATTTATGCTATAAAATACATAATCTAAGGGTTTAAGTCAACACAATAATGTTCTGTAGGTACTTATTTGTTTATATGGATGGATTAAAGATTCGAAAGTACTTTTTCGATGCTAATAGAGGTCGAAAAAGAATTCATATAAATCTATAAGTGCTGCATTATGGTATACCTTCAGCTGCTATACCCCAGCCGGAAGCTGTAGCGCCCTGGCCAGCGAAGTTGGCATTGACCTGGCTCAAGTACGGCAATCGAATAATGTCTATCGTATCTGAAAACAATGTAAAGTTAGATAAAGTTTAACTTTTACTTATATCTTATATTTTTATTAGAAGTAATTACTTGAAAAAAATGCCATAATTTAAGCAAATATTTTAAAGCAATAGAAAGAAATTTAATTGAAACAAGAACTGTTATTAGCTAATAATTTTAGTTTCTTATTAGATTCATCTATAGCATTATAAAAAGACCAATTTCAAATTAAAAAAAAAAAAACTGCTCAAGTTCGAGACGGAATAGCACAAGAAAGGTTATCTACTACTATCTATTAAAAAAAGTAAAATAAAACACGTTTGTTGTTTTCGTTGTTCGAAATCTTCGAGTTAAATACAACTGGCCGGCTATTACTCGTAAACTTCTAAAGCCAACTTAAGTGTGATAGTTTTCCTTTTAAGTTCGTTATATATAGGTACTACTGTCGTAACGTTTGAATGTTCACCGACTACCGTTTAGTTGGTAGAGAGGAGCGGATACTTGACTCTAACGAAAATTACCTCTTAAAACCTAAATAAGTTATATATTTGTTTAGGTATATATAGTATTATGGCTTTTACCAATTTGTTTGTTGTAATAATTTTTGCCCACTGTTTTTTTTTATTTTTATTCTTATTGCTTAACATCCTGACTCCAAAATTTTTTACTGGTAGACTGGCAAAGAATGTTTTTGGCACAAACGGTTTACTAAATCGTACAACGGCTTTCTCACACGCCTAATGTTTTTGAAAGAACTATCCAACGATGCCCCACTTTATAGGGAAAACGAAAAAAAGAATTTATTCCCAATTTACATGTAGGGGAGGTACCATAATTTTTATTTTTTCCAAATTTCACTTCACCACTTTGTCGACGTAATCAACGCGTATATTCATGCTAAATTACAACTTTATAGTACACGTTTATTTATTCTGTTGTTACAAATAATATTAAGGGCAATAAAAAGGATAATTAAGTTAAATAACTAACACTCTTCCGCTCGTCGTGTCGTCTAAGCTGGCGCTACTCTTGAGAAAACTTACAATATAAAGCGCTTCCGAAAAGGCATCAAAAGCAGCCTAACATTTCTAAAATACAAGATTTTTCTATAATATACTGTAATCGCGAGCAGTCAAATTTATTTATTTATTAGGAAACACAACAGATATTAATCAAAATATATATGTATAATAAGTTACAACTGTGTAGTACTCAATAAATATCCTAAATGTATTTACACAATGAGATATGGTAAAGATTTTTTTTTTTTTACTAATATGAAATCACAGAAAGATCAATTTGGATGATTAAAAAGATACATTTAGGTCTACCACAATTTTTTAAATACAGTTTTTGAATTTAAAGAGATTGGCATTAAAATTGTCTAATGCCTAATTAACCGGGAGGATCTCATTATAATTTCTACACGTACGAGCGATGGGATTATGAAAATACATATTATTTCTATATGTTGGTATGACAAAAGTTGGAAGCCTGCGTCTTGAATTATATTTGAAATTAATATTAAGAGATAAAAGAAGATATTCTGAGTCAATTACGGAATGAACTAATTTATGAAAAGTTATTAAATCATGTTGATGACGACGTGTGTTAAGAGATATATATATACCTGCTCTATAAGTACATATATTTGTATCACTTTTATGTATATTTCATCTAAACTTAAACTTTAATGTTTTAAATTGTCGAGTTAAAAAAAGGCCAATATAAATTTGATCTAAGAAGAACTATATAAGACGAAATATATAAGAGTAAAGTATAGTCGACAGTATGTTAGATTACTACATAAGGCCTCTGCAATCAATTGTGTACTCAGTCATCAGTGGTTAAGCTGTGCCACTGTACGTTTATGTTACCTGTGATCTGCATGCTGTTGGCTAGTCTTAGCAGTGCCAAGTCGTTGTCAAATGTCTCAGGTTGGTATTCTGGGTGGGTCACCACAGTGTCCACGTTCACGACTCGCCTTCCATTCTCGTAGCGATCGTAGAGGGAGTAAGCGCCTAATATTGCCTGTTGTATTAAAATAATGAGGTGAATTGTTACATATTCTTATTGTTAAAAGAAAAAGATCGACTACTAGCGACAGCACTAATTGTCGATTTCACTACGGGCATCACTATCTGTCAGTTAGCTGTCAAGATTACTTTGACTTTTTCGTTTGATGAGTTTCGCGCCAATATACCTCCGACTACTCGGAGACTATTCTTGTATTACTATTTGATACGACATGGCTCTTCTTCTTTAATTCATGGCCTAATCGACAAGGTTACTTCAAAAATATCAATTGAACAGTAAAATGTCTTTCATTATAGAGGCCCATGTACACAGGCAAAAGCTGAAAATCGGTGTTTTGCTCGCTCCGAGTGAAAGTATTGTTATTTATTACCTATTTGCGTCGCTGTAACATAAACTATAAATTTTATATATGTCACTATTGTAATAATGTTGTGGTTTAATTTACTTTCATTTTATAATATTGTAGTAGGTCATTACTCTTAGTATATGTTTATTTGTGATGCAAATAAACGTATTTATCTATCTATTGAGATGGCTAAGGTTTGCTTTTGAATATAAGTTTCACGTTCGTTGGCCCAGTGTGTACACACACTAGAGGAAAAAAAAGAAAATAAGAAACGTAGTTTCGAAGAAAATAGTTAAAAAGATTGGATACGGAGTCAGATAAAGTCTTAACATTACTATTTTATATAAAAAAAATAAAAATACCCTATAATAATTATTGATTTATGTTTTTGAACCTGCCTACATGTTTATCTGCATTGTATCTGGCACAATAAACATCTGAGCAATAACAGTCCTTCGTTATTCCATAAAAATACTTCGAAATTTATATGAAACAACGGATTATTATTATTATTATTCCCATTCTCATCTCAGCTCAGTATACAATTCTACCTAGCCAGGGTCAGCCTTAAAAAAACACCTTTTCTAAAAGGAAAAATGCTTAAAAATTCACTTTATCTATGGCTCTCTGTGATAGGACTCGAACCCATTATTAATCGCAATCCGGGCGACTGCTCTAACCATCGAGCTACCCAGGACCTAACAGGACTGACGAATTTTCAAGCACTTGTAACTTCTTTCGCTACTACAGAGCGTATTTTCATCAATGTTCAGGCAATCCACTCAAACAGCCGAAAGAAATATTTTTACAAATATTTAAACTTTCGTAAAATCCACGTCCGCGGTATTCAAAAGCACAACATTTTCAGATTAGCAGTACCAGGAGTTTCTTTTCGATTTGGAAATGAAAAGAAAAAAAGAAGATCAGTCATTTGTTTTGTTGTGATTTTTTAAGGACGTCATTCCAGTCTTTTATCTAGGAGCGGCAAATTTCATTAAGTCGGCGCTGTACCCAGTGGTGTAACTATACCGTTTGAGGCCCGTGGCAAATTCATCGGATATTCGATTTCTTTGCGATTTTAATTCGATTTCGGAATTGCGTAATAATAAATGTCAGCAGTAAGGAGTCTCCTCAAACCGGGGGCCTCTTCCAGGTGGGGGCCCGTGGCATTTTGCCGACTTGCCGCCCTGTAGTTACGCCACTGGCTGCACCAGACTGTACAGCGCCGACTTTAAAACTATCTTTGATGAACAAATGTAGGTACAACTATCCTGTATTTCATCATTTAGCTTTTGGTACACAATATTTTATGTCTTTATTGACCGCCCTTAATATGACCGCTACAGGCCTGGGCCTACTTTCGCTTTAGGGTAAATTCTCTAATGACAGCTGGTGATGACAATGAAAATTAAATTATCAATATTTCCTACTTGTATATGATCCACTTGGATCGAGTCATGGTAGCAGCAGTGCGCGGCAGTGATCACCCATTGTTGGTGTATAAGGCTTCCGCCGCAGAAACCCAGGGGGCCATCAGCACCAACCCGCGAATACAACGCCACCTATGGTAAAATATGTTTTGTCTAACATAAACAATAACACAGAAGATTCGTAAAAGGCTAATATGAAAAAAAAAAACAAGTCGAAAGTATAGGTAAAATATAAATTAGTTTCTATGAAACAATGATAATTCACAGATATACAATTTTTATATTTATTTATTAACTTAAAAAAATATATATATTCATGCAAAAATTATAAAATCTAATAATTAAAAATATATATATTATTCTAACCATATTTTTTTATAAGTCAAACTTATCTCGGGAATGTATCCTTTCAAAAAAAATAAGGAATTATCATAATCGGTATCCTATTGACAAATACATCGCGGAACATACATGAAACGTTGCTAACCACCTCTTTTAAAGTCAGTTAAATTTAAAGTGCTTTCTCACTCACCTGAAATGGTCGAGATTGCCTTACACTAATCTGGCCACTGGCTATTCTTGAATTACTTCTTGCACACTCTTTATCAGAACAAAATTTTGTTGCACTCAAAACGATTGGAAGTAATAAGAAAATTATATTACCGAACATTTTCGATACAAACATCGATGCAGTTTCAAAAGAAAGTAAGAAATGATGATTAATCTCGGTATTTTATCATGTTATATCAATGTTGAGATATTTTGTCAATTGATACATGTGATAAGGCAATGAGGTCACAAATATTTATTTTATAGGTACGTAACTATGCTGTGGAATAATAATAGTAGTAGTATACCATAGAGTAATAAAAAAGTAGCTATTAATATTTTTATTCAATTTTTTTTAATTAGACAAAGTACCATAAATTTTTCAGAATTTATCCATAATTAATTAGCTAAAACCATTGAGTTGTGAAAATATGATATAACAAAGGCAACACAACACAACAAATAGAAAAGTTTGTTTTGTCATTGACCTGACTGGAAATGGAACCTGGCGACTCAGGTATGGCGACAACTTGAAACAGTGCGAGCCACTCGATCACGGATTTCGTCCTTATAATAACCCATGGCTATTAGCTGTACTAAGGGATAAAAAAATAAGAAAAATACCTAAGGTTCCTGTTGCAATTATAAAATAATATTCGTTTATTGTGAAAAAGTAAGGTAAAATAACAAAGAAATGCGGATCTTTCAAATTGAAATACTTAGCTTATTTACTAAGTAAAACACGATTCAATATGTAAAGAACAAAAAAGAAATTTTAAACGACTATTTTTTTTTATTAAATCAATATCACGTTTTTATAGCTATAGCTTATCATAGCCAGAGTTTGTATCATCACCAGCCCTTTTACGTCCCCACTGCAGGGGCTCAGGCCTTCCTTATGGATGGTTAAGGAGGATGGGCCATGACCCTCCACGCTGGCCCAATGCGGATTGGAGGGTAAGAGTTTGTATAATAAAAACAAATTAATTACTTTCAAGCTCCTTTATTTCAACCAGGTACCATTCACTATCATGGCTAAGTTCTTTCATACATGACAATATTAAGCTTTAGACAGTTGATGATGCCTTAATTGTCAATGTGGTTATATCCACGCTCCAATGCAAGTAGAATTAAGAATACAAAGTTGTTAGTATTAATAATATCGGATGTTCATGCATTATTTGGAGGTAAACTTTTATTTTTCTGAGTTTCAAACAATTTAATATAACATGCAGTGTGTTAAATAGATATATTTTTTTTTAAATAGTATTGATCTGTATTTTCTTAAGTAAATTCTTCTGTAATAAAGTTAGTTCATTAGCTTTTCATGTGGAATGCCATGATTCAAAAAGTTAAATTAAATAAAATTTACATAGGTATTAAAAAAAACTAAAATATACCAAATCCGTAATTTTTTTTAAACTCTGTCTTGAAAAATATTGTGATAATGACGCCTAAAATGTTACTTAATTTTTATTTGTAATACATGACGTTTTATCAATAAAAAAAAAGATTTCTTTAAATTATTCGTTTTGGATTTGTAACAAAATTTTACTGATCGGTGAAGTAATCTTTGAATTTGGTTTATTTTAGTTTTTTGAACTTTTGTTATGTATATGTAAAAAATATTTTACAAAGGGGAAAATTTTCGTTTACCCTTCAAACGATTTTGAAACCTATGTATATTTTTTCCATCGTACTAAGCAAGGGTACCTTTCCTTCATTCACAATGTGTTATTATTTGCACAACAAATATGTGTCTAAGTTATACAAGGTCCAAAATGTGCGATTAAAGCATCCACAATTACACCGCAAACAAGATTTATAAATTCACAATTATTTATTTAAAATCACAACAATTCATAAATGTACACATGAAATGTATGATCTGAACCAACCGAGCGGTGAAGGTAGGGTCGGAGAGCATATCACACTGTGCTAAAGGAAATTCAGACTTTTATAAGGTGCAACTGATGCGCTCAGGTTTCACCAGACATAGCCGTCTCGGTCGAACTCGGTCGGACTCGGTTAAACTCGGTCGACTACTGGCGCGAGCTCTGTCCTCCACCGCCACCCGCTTGATGCAGATCGTACATAAAGGTTATATTTCTCTTACTATTACTTCGCTGACAGTTGAAAATTAACAAATTATGACTAAAAGACTGTTGAGACTAGATATACATAACTTATAATAATTAATTGTCTTACATACTAATCTATTAGTTTTCATGATATATGTTTATTTCGGACATACAATTTCTACGTAGCTAAACCTATAATTCTCATGGAAAGAAATATACGAATTTGATATTCCTCAAAGAAAAATGTGATTTTAGTAAGTCAGGCGTGTGACGGGCTGTTAAAATGGCGACAATAATAATAAAATAACGTTAAAAATTACAACAACACTATGCATAATTAAAACTATTTACAAGCCTCCGCAGCAGCAGTGATATTCTATTATTGAAACAGCCTCAAGCGCGACGTCGAGCGCAGCGTCGTAACAGCATAGAGCTTCTATAAAATAAAACCTTTATTATCTTTGAAGGCTTTATTTGATTGAACCTCTAATCTATGACAGCGCTGCGCTCGACGTTCAGTTCGACGATGTTTCTTAACAGAATAGCATAGCCGATGTTACCTTTACAACTATATTATAGAGACATTAATTCAAGATGACAATTCCATTTTCAATATAATTTCATTTATTATTTACATAAATATCGAATTAACACTCTGGCAGCGACAATTGACAGGAAAATTATAAATCTGGGTATTTACAGGAAAAAACAAATCAGTATAAAAATGGCATACCATCTTCATGATATAGATAGATAATTTAGTAAGGTCAAATCGATCGATTGCAAATTCTTCCTCTAAATCCCAGAAGTAATAATAATAAATAATAATACAAAATCCTTTAAAATAACACATTAAATTCTAAAAGGAAGCGATTAATAACTACCGCACGATATCACAGTTCATTTATGCAAATAAAATAACCGTAGAAATACAGTTTATGAATAATATTAATAGCTGTTATAAATTATGGCAATAATCAACAGAAATTTGTTAAATCGAATTTGAAGGAAAACAATTCTTCATTGATTCTATTTATTTATGTAATCTGTGTTATCAGAAAAAGGAAAATTCCACTCGTCATGCTAAATTGATTCAGTAAAATCAAAGGCTCAGCATAAATGGCAGCACTAGCGCATGTAGTTAACAAACTAGTTTGAACATTTTGCCTTTTGGAAATTGATGATTCTCTTCCTTCTCGCATCCAAATACGCAGCAATGTATTTCTTTCTAATTGGTAATTTAAAAACACTAAATTCCTACTACACTACTCTGTGAATGACTGTTAAGATAACTATAAACATATCCTAATTTCTAGTTGAATGAGGGACGTTTGATGTTTATAAAAAATTATGAAAAAAAAACTTCACTAGAGTTCGTATCACGAAAGAAGCCACTCGAATCACAATGTTTTCTTTTTCATTATAAAAGAATAAGAATTATGCCACAGATTTTACATGTGCTAGTGTTGTAATCCGCCGACAAAAAGTTGCAGTAATACGTTCTATTCGAGCTTCAAGCACAATAAAAAACAGAGTTAGCAAGCTAGAAATTGTGCTAACGAATATTGAAGACGTTTATTCGATATTAGTATTTTTATTTATTGAACTCTTATGAAAAAGGCGTACCGAACATTATTTTAGATTTTGGTTATTCTTTTCGGTTATTCACAAAATTACATCACTATTGTCATGGCCGTACAAGGGAGAGAGGGACAGGAGAGGGCTGCCCCTCCTGAAGAATGATAAAAATTGATAGCTAATATTCAGTTGCACAGACGTCCATTTAGGTTTAATGACGAATGAATGTAAAATTGTATCGGTAGTCGCTTTAGACTAAAGATAATTTTAATGGAGGTTTGTGCCACTGTGTGACTAAATCCTCTGATTTGCCCTCGCTGATCCTACGTACATCCATGACTATTACTAAGTATATTAGGTAAACTATTACCAATATCTTTGTATCTTATACGTCAATATTATATTAGTATGTGGTATGGAAATTAATGTGTGGTCAATAATGTTTGAGCATCACCACTCAATATTAAATGAGTTTTGAAATATAGATGTAGTGTAGTTGTTGTTTTCTCTAACTAAAATTTGGAAAAAGTGTTGTAAGATTTCAATGAAGAATTTATCTAGATACTATTAGTGCTTAAGTTGGGCAGAGCACCTTTAATATATAGTCTGTTAATAGGGTGGGCACCGTGGGACTGTCTTCATTAATTGCCTTCAGAACTGAAACAAAGACATTTAATAAGGTATACATAATATTATAAAGAGACAAATTCATGGGTTTCAGCTTTACTGTTTGCAGCTTTTGGCAGAATAGCGTTGATAAACATTTATAAAATCCATAAAGCTGAATGAGAAATATTTCTTCTTCAAATTAAATTAAAAAAAAAATTGTAAAATAAACTGGCTTGTTTGTAAATGTATGTAAGCATTGACTACTACGGACAGCACTAATTGTCGATTTCATTACGGGCAACCCTATCTGTTAGAGCTGTCACTGTCACTTTAACTTGGACTTTTGATTAATTTCGCGCCAATATGCTGGCGGGTTCTCATTCTTATAAAACTATTGGATTAGTCATGGTCATTTTTAAGTATAATATGTATATAAATTGAATAGTAAAATGTGTCTTCCAATAGGTAAATATTTCCATATTAATTGTTTACTTCTATAGAAATATATAATAATATTCACTTACTTTTGATAAGAACTTGAAGGGTCTGGTTGTCAGGTGGGCCATTATCAAGATGAAATGGGATAACCGTTGTGAGGTACTGTAAAATAAAATATTTTTGTTTTGAGCAATTTTGTTTAGAGAAATTATAAATAAAAAAAATACAGAGAAATTTCTTCATAAACGACATCCGAAGTAGTTAACTAGAAAATTCCTCAGTTGCTTACCCTATGACACCATAAGATATATTTCTATCCTTGTCTAATTGGGATTTTAAATTGTTAAAAAAAAGATTTTTAAATAACAAGAGCAAATATTTAAAAATATCAGCATGCCAAATATTAAAATAATAAAAAAAATATTTAGGTACCTTAGGTTCGGAACTGCTTGAGTTCAAGTTGGGAGATCTCGGAGGGCCGGGCCGTTTCTTCCTCTCGACGTGATGCTGTCTCCTCTTGTTCTGGACAGCCAAAAGGAGTGATATGAATGTGTTCTTCAACTCTTTCTCGTATTCCAGCTCGTCTCTCAATGCCAACTCTGCGATTAACGTCTCTGAGAACTCGCGAATCAATACTTCTAGCTCCATGAATATCTCGTTGAGTTGTGATAAAGAAAGCGTTCGAAGTTCTGAAATAATAATGAATAGAAATAAAATATTCAGCTTTGAAAAATTCATTACCGTAAAATGCTGCAACTTTGCCAACCAAGCCTAAATTTGCCTAATTTATTTAGATCTCAATATCTCGAGCCTGCTTAATTTTTAATTTTTTTTCTACCATTTGGTATGATTGGACATTAGTATGACAACATAGTTTTAATTTTTCTCTATGGTAACTACATAGATTATCTGTCAGCAGTGCAAAAACGGTTAGCGTGAGTGCAAGAAATTTTAAAGAGTCCCAGAACTTTTGGAGTTTTAATTAAAAAGAAAGTGTTTCAGTGCCGTAATAACATACAAAGGTAAGGAAATATACTCTGTTTACTGTATTATTTATTACTTATTTATAAAAATCAGAATTTTGTCAAATATACTCACTAAGTAATGTTGGGCAGTGTTTTGGAAAGCCGAATGACACAACTTTGCCCGGGTCTAGGGTTGTCAAGGATTTTAATCAGAATTGAATACCTACTTTGTTAGTCCTACTTAGATTAACAATGTGAAAGTAAGGATTTTGGTTTGTTAGTCACTGGCAAAGTTAGATAGTAAATAAATCTTTATATTTATGATGTCATTGGATTTTTCAACTTTATTTCACTGGCGACAATTAATGTAATTTCAAAACATTTAAGTTTATTCTAAGTAGATAATCCTGTTTCAGTTACAATTTAAAAATGGGGAACGATAAATCAAGAAAAAGGCGAAAACTAGGCGCTCGTAAATATTCCGATTACTCCAAAGAAATGCTAGAAATTGCTGTGGAACTAGTAAAAAAAAAAGTTGTGTCATCATATGAAGCGGAAAAGCAGTTTGGTATTCCACGTCGGACAATACTAAACCATAGTAAAAACGTTCATACCAAAGTATGTGGACGACCGACTGAATTGTCTACAGAGGAGGAAGCCCACATTGCCGACGTGGTGAGTCTTTCTGCACAATTTGGCAGTCCTCTAACTATGTTGGACTTACGTATTGTAGTGTATAACTACTTGAACAAATGCGGAAAAACTAACCTTTTTAAAGGGAAAATGCCCGGAGAACGCTGGGCCCGGGGATTCTTAGAACGTCACAATTTTTCACAAAGAGAAGTACAAAATATAAAAAAGTCCCGAGCTGCAAAGACAGTAGACGAATTTAACGAATATTTTAAAAATCTCGAAACATCGCTTGAAAATATTCCTGCTAGTAATATTTTAAATTTTGACGAGACAAACTTAACAGATGATCCCGGATCTCAAAAGTGTATATTCAAACGAGGGACTAAACACCCCGAAAGGGTTATTAACGCGAGCAAAAGCTCAGTATCGGTCATGTTTAGTGGTACTGCTGACGGTCAATGCCTACCACCCTACGTTGTATACAAAGCTGATAACTTATGGTCTAGGTGGTGCGTGAATGGTCCAAAAAATGCTCGTTATAATCGGACTAAGTCAGGATGGTTCGATATGACATGTTTTGAAGATTGGTTCAAGACTATAGTTTTGCCATGGGCCAATTCACTAGACGGCATGAAACTTATAATCGGCGATAACTTGGCATCGCACTTAAGTGTCGAGACAATACAAATATGTCAAAGTCGAAACATAAGATTTGCTTTTCTCCCAAAAAATGCTACACATCTTACTCAACCGTTAGATGTGGCATTTTTCGGGCCAATGAAACGACATTGGCGTGAAATTCTAATTAATTATAAAGCTACATACGGCAATACAAACACCATTAACAAATGTCATTTCCCACAATTATTAAATGAATTAATGACTAAATTAAACATGACGAAAGAGATAAACTTACGCAAAGGATTTGAAGGATCTGGAATATACCCTTTCAATCCATCAAGAGTCATCGATAAGGTACCAGCGGTACAAGAAAAAAACATTCGTGAATTTGACGCAAACCTTCTAGACTTTTTACATCGGAATAGACAATCCAAACCAAGACAGGACAAAACTGCAGACTTAAAGTAATACCCGGCAAATCTATATCGACCGAAGAAGCAGAAGAGTTAGCTAAAGTCAAAAATATAAAGAAGATTCCGAAGATAAATAAACAAATAGTAGAAAAAGTCTCAACTTCACCAGGTCCATCGAAGATAATATCTATAAAAAATAAGAAAATTAATAATCCTGGTATCTCCCACAAAAAAACAATTTCACCGCCAATCAATGACAATGAAATAGATAGATGCTCCCATTCCGCTGGTTTGAAATTGTTGGTCAATAATCCTGCTAAACTTTGTGATCTTTGTATTAATGCAATTAACATTCACTTGCAACCGTTAGCGTCAGAGTCCTATAAATTCGTGCATTGTCTAAAAGATTTATCAAAGAGTTCCGACATGAACGCTCCGTTTTGTAATGGTACACCAGAATGCCTACAGTTCAATATAGTCAACATACCTAGAAATGATCATGAACTACAAAAAAAGTCCCCAAGAAAGAAGAAAACACCTAAAATAACAATTACGTCTAATATAATTATCAAAGAAGCGTCTCCTGATAAAAATATGGTTTTGCAAGAAATAGATACACAAAAAAATAAAAGAAAAAGGCAAGTCAATACTTCCCAAACACAGTTATCCAAAAATAAAAGGAGAAGGAAACGTGTATACTGTAGCGATTCAAGCTCAACGTCAAAAACATCTTTTCATGCTGCAGATGACTCCGATTATGAAAATTTTGATAATTATATTGCGTCATGTTTACAAGAACAAGAAGACCAAGAAAATTTTTGCCCTTTCGGATTGAGTAATATAGATTTTTGTGTAGAAGATCCTTTAGGATTTTTCATAAACAGCTGGTTAATAGTCAAATTTGCTTCAAAAAAAAGTGTTAAGCACTTTATCGGAAAGGTTTTATTCATAAATAATAAAATTCCTACGGTACAATTTGTGAGAAGAGTAAAAAACTCAAACTGTGGTAAGGGAACAGTCTTCACTTACCCTAACATTGAAGACGTAAGTGCTGTACAAGATTTAAATGATATTATTATGGTATTACCTGATCCTCAAATTACCCGAAGAGGACAATTCATATTTAATTTAAATTTCGATAAATATAACATACAATAGTAATAAGTATATCCTATTTTCAAGTGTGTAATATTTGTAGGTTTGTAGATATTATCTCTACAAATTTTTTGTTTTCAAATTCAATTATGTTCCTGTTGGTATTAGTTCATTTAGATTAAGATTATAGTTGTATTTGGTGGACAATAATAACCTTATGTAAGGTTTCGTGATATCAGATATTATTTTATTTTTGTCCTGTGTAGATTTTTTATCATACTAGATCAGTCTAGAAATAGATAGAATCTATTTTAGAAGAATATGTCTCATGATCTCATTGATTAAGATTACAGTTTTGTAAACCAAAAGATCCTTATTTAACGTGTCGTGATATCAGATGTGATTATGTGTATGGTGTAGATTTTTAATTATACTCGTATTAAATCTATGAAGCAATAGATAGATTATATTATAGAAGAGGATAATTTTAGATGTTTGTTTCTGTTTATAAAAAATATTTTTTTTTATACAGTTACTAGGAAATTTGTTTATTTCTTAGTTAACACAAATTAATGGTGGAAAATTTTAAGTGAGGATAGCGACATGTGGGGCAATATGCAAATCTGTCAAAAGCTCACATTTAGTTCAATATTAATTGAAGAAATTTGACTAATTTGTATAATTCAACATGATTATGTCTCGTGATTATTTTTGATAGAAATAGATACTTTTCATTTATTAAGTCGTAACCAAATATTTATTTTTACAAATTGCAATTGTGATTACTTAGGTAAATAAATTATTTTTCAATAAATAATTTTAAAAAATGTATTTTTGGCACAACCCTACCTTCAACTACATTTTTGTATGGGAAGTTCGTGGCACCTGCTACAACATTGCCCATCAGCCGCGAAAAAAAAACTATTACATTAATGGTTATAAATTGATTATTGGAGACAAGAACGTTGTCCTGTGTAAACGGGAAAAAAAGACTGATAAAATTAATAGCTAATTTTAATGAATTATCCTTCTAGGCAAAGTTGTGTCTTTGACATACAACATTGCCTGCTACTTTGTGCATCTGTAACTCGAAAAAGGTGCACGATTTAATAAGATTTGGGTCATATTTGGCAAAGCATAAAGTCTACTTTTCTATTTAAATCCATTAAATGCCATATTAATATATAGGTTCAGAGATATAGGTAAAAAACCTTAAAATCCAGGCAAAGTTGAAGCATTTTACGTAATTAATTGATGAATTAAACAAACTCTTTGTTTGATTATGAATTTGTACAATACTAATATTATAAATAAGGAAATGTGATTGTCTGTGGGTTTGTGTGCGGGGAAGGTATTTATAGAAAGGTATTTCAAAATAACATTGATGCCCATTTTCATTAATCTTTGGAGTCGCCCAAATCTGTCGCCTAAATATTTCGGAATCGCCTAGGAAAATGCATTTCACCATTGACTAGGGACCACCTAACGAAATAAGAATGGGCATTAGAATTGGTTGTAGGTAGAAACTTTCAAAGTGGTAAAATATGTCACATTTTTTAAAAAAAAGAAACGAGAAGTAGCAGTTATTTAGATAGGTATAGGGCATTAAAAAAAACTAAAATGTTACTTCACATATATACAAAAATATGAAAAAATTAAAAAAATATTTTGTTAATTTATACTTGCTACTAGGAGATCCTCATTGGTGAGAGTTGCATCTGACCATTATTTTATTTCTCTACTCATCTCCAAATCGAAGTTATTTAAGCGTTCTAATTTTAAAGTTATGATGTAGGAAAGTTTTTGATAACTCGATGCGCGAATCAATCTACGAGGCCGACGGCCCGGGGTGAATGGCCGTGCGATAATTTAGCGGGAAAATAAAAGAACAAAATTGGTTTGGTTCATATGGCTCATGTCATCTTTATATCACAAGCTTCACCTTTTCAACTTATTTGAACTTTAAAATTATGTGCAGAAGAGTTTGCGGTAGGTGTTAATTATTTATATTTGTTATTAATAAATTAAAAGTATAAGTCCCAAGAATTTCTGCTACAACAAAATAAAAACTCATTGAGAATCTTATATTAAATAAAGTAATAAAAAGAAGAAACTTTTAATTTGTTATGTTAGTATACCTTTAATGTTGTAATTTCGTATGGTCCTAGAGAGGGGAAAGAGTACAAATAGAATATGCCCGCAAGTGTCATGATAATTCGTACGAGTTTTACTTGAATTAATAGAAGATATAGACAATTTTACGCTTATAATTCGTATAATAAACAAAAAAATGTCCCGTTATAGTTTGCGATAACCTTGATTAAAGTCAGAGGAAATCGTCAGTGAACGCAACGCCGAGCTTTTCTCACGGTGCGAAACGACTTGACTGTAATTGCATGAGAGAATTATGACCACAGTCCCCAAATTTGCAACAAATTATATCATCTTCTTTGCGCATTCAAAACGCGAATTTTGTTTATTTTTTGCATACCTTAGGAAAAAGGTGTTTACAGAAAACATAGGGTTAAAATACTCTCGAATAATTGACGTATGTCTAAACGAGGGACAAAATTGGGTCGGTTATCAACAATATGGATAGACGATCGGATAGAATTAAGGTAAGAAATTGTATTCACCTATCTTTGCCTCATACGTGTTGAAGAGGAATAAAGCATTTGTAAAGTTCAATATATTTTATTTTATTTGTGAATATTAAGGTATATTTATCTTTGATGTTTGGCGAGAAGATAGCAAGGTTTAATAACAAAACATTCTAGTAGATCAGGTGGATAACGAGGTCCTATCAGAGAAATAAACGTTTTTTTTGTAATTCAGCATATATAAAAATGATGCAGATTTCTGTGTTGAGATTAGGTTCACGACCTCCATTGTTGTTTTTTATTATTATTAGTGTTTAATAAATAGTATGGTCAATATATAGTTGCTTATAAACAAAAGGGTTACAAATCAAAATTGCCTAAAATAATTTTTATCAAAATATGTGACAAGTTTCGCTCATATTTTCTTATTTGACAAAAATCTATTATTTATTATTACAGATTTTTTACCCTTTTGTTTATAAGGCGAAATGTCTTTCTTTCTTTTTTATACTTATTTACAAAATACCTAGGTATTCAATTTATGAATAAACACGTTAGTATTGTGGATTCAAAACTCTCTTGTACGTAAGATGTGTTGAACCATTTAAGAACTATAAGTAAAGATAATAATATTATTCCACGAATATATTCCGGTATACTCACTGTCTTCGTAGAGGGGCGAGCTGAGGACCTCCTTGCCTTTCTCGAGCGCCTCGTTATATTCGATTATATCACCTTCCGATGATGGCGTCTCTTGCATCATGTCGTCTATTTCTTGAATTACCTGTAAACAATGTAATATTTTCTATAGAAATTGTATACCCATCTAATAAGCTTAAAACAACTATTTCATAGATTTATTTCTAATTTTGTAATTGAGTTAGATAACATAGATACTGTGCCCAAAGTAACATAGAAAGTCTCAAGAAAAGTCTTACTTTCGTCGTTGTCGATTGCACGGAAGTTGCTCCGTTACCACAGTATGTACAATTTTCGCAATTAATTTTGAAATCTATCTATAAGGTATTAGGGTATAACTCTCAGATAAAACCCAGTTAGTATTGGAAAAATCGAGCATTCTTAATTATAAAATAATAACTGACACTACATTAATCTCAGAAGTTGGTTAAGAGTTACAGTTTCATTGTTACCTCGTCTGCGGTCTTGACGGGGCACTCGTGGTCCTGATGCAGCCCACCCAGGATGAGCGCGTGCATATCTAAGTCTGATGCTACCGCCTCGTCCTCAGAACTGTGGATCTCATCATCCGGAGTCATTGAACCCTGTAACGTTATATATTTTTTGATTTTATATAGAGGATTGTCCACCTTTGGGAAAACAGAAAAACACGAGGGCGGCTTATAGTGACATTACAATTAACAAAGCTCAAAACTAAACTACAAGCAAGTTTATAAATAATAATATGAAATGTGTAAATCGAATCATGCATTTTGATGCGCTTAGTGATTGTAAGTTTGCATTTGATATTTAAAATATTATTATCGTTCTAAAAATCCGAAAAAGTTTTTAAGTAGATATTATTAAAGTCACAATGACCACAAGTTTGGGATCAAATAAGGTCGATGCGACGTTAATGAAATTAAATGCTTGCGAGTAATTTTCCGCATGAACGGAAGTGACCCTTATAAACAGATAGTGATACTCGTACGAAAAATATTTGTATATTATATACAAAAAAAACTATACAATCAATACAGAATCTGTGAAGGTGGCTATAGTAATGGCTATATCTGAATAAATGTATTTTTGTTTATTATTCCTTCTACAGTAAGCATTGTACTGAATTTTAAATATTTAAAACATGAGTGAAGGAAATATCTAATTAAATTAGAATTTTATTAGTCGTCTGTTTTATATAGGGTATTTTTTTGATATGGTTATATTATATCGCTCACTGAATACTACAGTGGCACAACTCAAAAATCATTATTTCGAGAAAACGCCACAACATTGTGGTGGCATCCCATAGATAATTGAAAGAAAAAATAAAAAACTTAACAGTAATAATATATTACAAACGTTTTAACTGTTATGCTAAAAAAAATGATTTTCATAATTATAAATATATTAAATTTTCATAAGTTCGGAGCGTTTCTCGAAATATGGTTTTTGAGTTGTGTCACTGTAGTATTCAGTGAGCGATATGCAAAAAAAAAACTATACAATCAATACAGAATCTGTGAAGGTGGCTATAGTATATATATATTTGAATAAATGTATTTTTGTTTATTATTCCTTCTACAGTAAGCATTGTACTGAATTTTAAATATTTAAAACACGAGTGAGGGAAATATCTAATTAAATTAGTCGTCTGTTTTATATAGGGTATGTTTTTTCTTCTACAATATTTTGATCTTCTACAATACTACGGTTATGACGTCAAGAAGTGGAATTATTTTTTTTGTAGATTATAGAAATATTTTATTTCTTTTTGCAGAGTTTTTATCAAAACTATAAAGCAAAAAATGTCGTAGTTAAAAAAAAATCTGCACTTTTTTTAGTAATTGTTCGTACTTTAAAGGGATCAATCACAAAAAAAAAACGATGTCAACCAATCTATCAAAGTCTTCACAAAATTTAGCAAAACAATAAGAACATTACTCACCTAATTAGTAACGCTACTCGATCGCTTAAAATTAGCGAAAATAATTACCATTGTCTCAAAGGTGAGCAAACAAAAGATCGGATAACTGGCTACTATAAACCATGAAATTGAAGCTTGCCAAAGTGTAACGCATAAATAAGCATTTAATTTATTACATTCCCACGTTTCAATGTGAGAGCGAATGTCAGATGAGATACTGCATTTGTAAAAAAAATATGCAGATAAAGATAAATGAAACTCCATGATTAATTTTATTCATCAAGAAACTAAATGTACTGCCGATGATATTTATAATACTTTACTAGTATACTCGTTAGTATGTAATACTTGTAAAAACAGGCATAGAGAACGTATTTCAGTAAATCCGTTTTTGTCACAACTTAAGGACAGAGCAAAAAGTCTAATCTAAATCCACGCCTCTTATGGTATGGGCAGAATAAGTTTTTTATGATATTGACCTCTGTATACACATGAAATAGCAGATTATAAAAACGTGTGTAAATGTTATATTATTTTAGCCATTGTCAATGAACAGACTGCAATATTTTACAAAATTAATGTAACAAAACATACAGTGAGTAGAGTTAGCGATTGCTTGAATGTAAATAAATGAGTTTCGGGGCATTAAGATAAACTTTGGACACTTCCAAAGTTTGTAAGGGTGTTTTTTATTATTAAGTAATAGTAAAATTATGAAAAGAGATCCATTCATTGCATTATAAAGACTCTTTTACCCAAAAAAAAGGATATTTTCTATATTTTGGAAGATATCAAGGTATTCTTAATGAAAAAATATCAAGGTTTGTTAGTGATCCAGAACTTTTAATTCATAATCCGTTGTATAGACAAAAAACTAAAAAATAAATGTTGTGTTACTCACTTTTTTATCGCTAAGGTTCAAAGTAGGGATATGCATCTTTCTGGAAAACGATTTTGTCCAATCGATGGGTAGAATGTTCCCAAAGTTCCCGGTGATGGTCCACCACATTCTAAAAAAAAAGGAAAAGAAACATTAAACATATGACAAATGATCTTGAAATATATAACGGTGCCAAATCTGTTGTACTACTCTATAAAGTAAACTAAAAAAATCTAGTTAAAAAAATGTTGTTTTGCATAAACGTTATTCCAAAGTCATAGGTGTATTGAATTTTTTAATATTGAAACCACAGCTTGACAAGACTTAACTTAAATTTAGTCTAGTTTGAGCAACAGATAGAACCGCTACCAGTATTAAAATGTTTAAGGTTATCTATACCTAATATTATCAATAGGAAAGATTTGATTGCTTTTTTTTCATTTTATAGAATCCAATACTGCTAGACTGAATTTTAACAATTCTTTCAACTACGATATAATATATACGCGGGTGACATGGGATTACGCGGGCAAAGTCGCGGGAAAATAGCTACTTCATTACAAAATTATAATATTGTGAAGCACATGGACCTTAATATGCAAAGTTAAAAAATGTTGGTCAACCTTAAACCGTTTTTGATATGGACTTGTTTTGTTATTGTCTCTGAACTAAAGGCCTTGGTCCAGATGAGGTCATATTAATAATGTAAGTATGAGTTGTGTTATCCAGGCTCCGGGGAATTAAATTGTTTTTTCCATTTGGCGAACGGCGTGGCAGACTGGTTCGGGCAACGGTTTGAAGTTGTCGCCATTTCTAAGGTCCCGAGTTCGATTCGTAAACGTAAAAAAAATATTTCTCTACATTGACATGACACAACACACATATCTGAAACAAAAAGGGCCAAAAACTTGTGGTACTTTCATTTAGACACTCCATAATACGAGGGCTCTAGCAACTCTTGGAATCTGAACAAAGTATGTGATGTTGTTTTAGGCCACAAATGCGATGACGCTTGAAGTTCAACAGTTTGGATCGGTATTTTGATTGAAAGTTTATTTCGGTAGAGGAATTTGTACCAATATCAGTCGATATTCGAAGCTAACGTCATCTAGTGATATTTTCCTATGCGTTTTGTATAATTATATTATAAAGGGTAAATGCATGAAATAGTCACCGAAACTACAAGACCAAATTCAAAATATCATTTACCTACAGTTGTTGCATCAAGCTCATATATCATAAGTGGGTGACATAGGTTATAATTTACGCGAGACAAGTCGGGGGAAAATAGCTAGTATTTTATAACGTTGACCATGTATTATATATAGATGTCGCATTGGTGAAATCAGCTATCCAATGAGGCAGATGGCCACAGCGCTATCTATCGGCAAGGTGAGAGTTAGCAATGGATTTGGATGCGAGTGTTTTAGCATGTTTGTTAAGATTTCGTTTGGTGTTACAAAGTTACAAGTTTGGTGTTGTTGAAGTTACAAAGTTAATAACAACAAAAAAATAACGATGTTATTTTGGTCCTGTAGGTCACGTGATTTTTTGTTTCCAGATCATAAAACTAATTGAAAGTTTTTCCCAATTGAATGATTCAAATGTCATAATGATTCAACTAGAAAACTAGGCGTGCAATTGAATGGCGCCATTCAATTAAATAGCTAGCCGATCAATTAAACGGCTTGTTTTGCCAGTTGGCTGCCACGTACACATGGAGTACAATAACCACTAATTCAGTAGGTAAGATCGGAACTTGGGAAGTTTTATTTTGGCGTTATCATATCCAAACTTAAATATTTATTCGATATTTTTATAATTGCTTATTATTTCTATTATTGTTTCTTTAAAAAATACTGTAAAAAAGCGACCAACTAATCCGATTATTATGACATTTTCAGATTAAAGGAGTTTCTAGAAAAAATTGCTTGCAAAGGGTGGTTGGTTACTTTGAAATGTGAGTGAATAAAAAAAATGAGAGACCACAGAGACCTGCGCGTGAGTCAGCCGGAGACATAAATTGGCGCTAATTCGAGATCTCGCGGCATGCCATCGCTCAATTGAGGAATGTGTCACTTTTTATTACATTGTGTACTTTACTACCTACCTAACAACCAGGCATAGATATTATTTTCTACAATAGACACAAAAAAGAGATTTTTGGAAAGCATGGGACTGCTCGTACTACAAAATCGTGTACGTTTTATAATGTGTGCAATAAAGTCTAATTTAATGTGTAGTATATTTTATTATTAGTGACCCTTTTCAAAAATTCAGGCCGCCATTATAACATAAGACCAAGTTTGTTTGAATTGCATCACGGAGTTACTAGTAAAGTAATGATAAAACATGAAAAAAATATCTTACGGATTCGATTTTAAGTATTTTTCTTCCATATATTTAATTAAAACGAATAAATTTTTATTGTTCTACATATATTTGTACTATTATTGAAATTGAATTGATTGGAACAGTATACAGGATAAATCTCATCACTACAAAACAATACCACAAGCAAAAACCAAAAAACCAAAAGCATTGTATGGTTTTCAATCAAAGTAATAGCCTATACGTACAATGTATGAAATTTTACGAGCCAAAGTTACCTTTAAAGATGTTTGAAAGCCCTGTTTTGAACGACCAATGCATGAGACGAGGAATGCTGACCCGAAATCTTGTCCTTAGAGATTCTGGGAACTGTTACTTCGTCGTGAAACGTTAAAGCTTGCGTCTGTGTGGGCCTGTTTCGAGTTTTAAATGTTCAACTCTACATTAAGATATTAAGATTTATTTTTTAATTTGTTTAAATAAAAAGGAGGTTATAAAATCCTGTAAGTATCGTTGAATTGGATTTTTTCGTTTGATTTAGGGCTATTGTTTATTGGTAAAATTGCAGAAGTATTTTCTCGTTTTAAAGTTTTAAGGTGAGCCTTGTGTTTTATTTTTTGGAGTTACTATTTATGAAACACTATTCACGGCGAAATAAATTTTTGTTAAAATTTTATATATTTATTATAGTTATAAAAATGTTACCTAGATATGTATTATGAAACTTGACGCTGCTAATATAACTAACATAACGGTGACCACTAATTTGGCTAGCTAGCAGTGAAAACATTTACAAACGGGCCAGTGGACCGATCTCCATATCGAGTGACAATCACACTTGTGAGTTGGCACATCCAGAGAAATGCAAACATGACTCTTAAGGAAAAGAACTAACGGCGTTTTGCTTATGTTTTGTAATATCATGTACGTAGATACATATTTAACTTTTTATAGAGTAAATTCAATGATATTTTTTTCGAAAGTAGCATAATGCATTTCATATTATCGATAATCAATACCGTCAATTAATGAAAGTTTTTTTTTTGTTAAAAGCATAAAAACTATGCCTTATGTATTATGTTGTTACACGTATCTTTTTGTTGAAATTTCACTTGCACGTTATAAGTCGCTCTTTCTGCGTTTATAACGAGTTCGATACGCAGTGGTTAATGTTCAGTGTTAATCTATGATTTATATTTTTGTCTATGACTGAAACGATGGTCATCCGAAGAAGATCTTCACTTTTTATGTAAGCTTGTTGATCGTGAATATGTGATTGATTAATTAAAACACCTGATTCAAATATAACATTTATTTAAAACAGTTAGTGGGATCGGTCTGGGCTTGTGAAATTTAGGCAACTTTCGCAAAAAGCGGTCATTGGATGGGTGACCAAAAATTATGTTCTTGGAGATTCAGAAGGCACGTTAAGCCGTTAGTCCAGGCTATATATGCTGGGTTAATACCCAACAATCGGGACTGGATCAGTAATAATATTCTGTTAAAACACTTATTGTTATTTGTCCTCGAAAGTTATTTGAGAAATTTGCTACTCGTTCTTATAATTTTGTAAAAATCACCACCGTGAATATTTAGGTGCACCAGAGGCAGTATCAGCTCCTTCCTCCGTTGCATCGCAATTTATCGAAAAATGCGTATCTTTGGAATAGCATTAGCATATATCGAAAATAAACGAAATTTCGTTTTAACAGAAAAAAAAGACTTTTAGATAAAATACTTAGAAAATTCACCAGCCCCAGTTACTCTAACATGGGATTTGAGCCCACAAACTCATCTTAATCGAAAGTTTGAAATATTTTGGTGGATTGCCTAAACATTGTTGAAAATACGCTCCTTAGTAGTGAAAAGTAGCAAGTGCTTGAAAAAAGTCCTGATGGGCTAGGCCCATATAGGGTAGCTTATTGGTTAGAGTAGTCGCCCGAAACGCGACAGGTCGAGGTTTTGAGAACCATATCAGAGTACCCTGTGGCTTGTGCGTTTTTCATTAATAATTTATTCCAGTATAACTTTGTGAATGAAAAATTGACCTAAATATAATAAAATATAAAAGAGGTAGAGAAAGAAGGTATGTGAATCCATACATTCTCTTTAATCTGACGTCATCATGCATGTTGACGTAACAGCAAAGCCTGTGGTCGATATCCAAGCTAATTGAGTTGTTTAATCATGTGTCCTACAAATTGCGGCTTCGTCAACAAACATTAATGGAGCCATAACTGTGACTGAGCTTTGCTGTTACAATCAATACGTCCCATTTTTATTACAGCTATTCGTTAAATACTACAGTGCGAAATATCATAGTTTCTCGAGCCATCTGGCGATGATGCAACGAGAGCGTTCTGTTATCGAAATCACAGCTGTTATTTTGCATGCTGACAATAACAGCTGTAAAAAAATCAGCCAATCACTGAGCCTAGTTTGGCCAAATGTTAATTCGATCCTCGAGATGTTTATATCATCCATAGATATAATATTTTGTCCATAAGTACGTAGGTTAATTTCAAGGTGATTTATTGCTTTAAAGATATTATGAATTGTTTTTTTTGGTTTTTAACATATATAATTGAAACAAGAAAGTTTTTGTCATAAAAATGTATAGATAAAGCAATTTTAGACAAGTTTCAAACTAGACCACTGCCTACTATTGCTACATATACTCAGATGCATTAAATACGCGTATGTAATGTACTGGAAATGTTAAGATTATTTTTCTTTTTATCTCACCAATTGAAAAAGTATGATTTAAAGGAACTGTACCAGTAAAATTTGAAGTACGAA